GATTGTGAAACATCGCCCTGGAAAACTGCATGCCAATGCGGACGGTCTATCACGTATTCCACAAGGAGGCCACTGCCACAACTACAGACCAGAAGTAATGTTAAAAAGTTTGCCATGTGGAGGATGCAAATATTGCACTCGGGCTCATGAAAATTGGAGTAGGTTCTTCAGGGATGTGGATGACACCATTCCTCTGGCCCATGTTGGGCGGGATTGCCTCTCCGATGATGACTCACCTGATGATTGTGGCCTGCCGGTCTCCTGTCGTGAAATACAATCCATTGGGGATTCAGGTTTCCAAATGAACACCACCCCAGTGGCCGTAAGACTTGATGTGACTGATGACGGGCAGAAAGAACAATTTGGGTATTCATCTGAAGAAATATGCAATCAGCAGAGATCTGATCCAGACTTAACCATTATAATGGATTGGATTCAAACTGCTGAGGAGCCGAGTGAATCAAGTCTCTTATTGGCCAGTCCCGCAGCTAAACACTATTGGTTGAACCGAACTCTATTTCGGATTGACAAGCAGGGATTGTTACGTGTTGATCCTCTCATAAAAGAAAAGACAACACGAGGCATGGCATCCCTGGTGGTCCCGAAATCATTACAGCAAGAAGTGCTAAGGTTGAATCATGATGTCATGGCTGCGGCACATCTGGGAATGGAAAAAACAATCTATAGAGTTAAAACCTGATTCTACTGGCATGGCATGGCATGGTACAAGATATCAAGTTGTATGTAAGCACATGTTCAACATGTAGCCGAAACAAAGGACCTGTACGACATGCCCGGTCACCAATGATCAACTTTCATGCAGGGGCACCCATGGAAAGAGTTCATCTTGATTTCATTGGCCCCTTGCCCAAAAGCAAGTTGGGGAATCAATACATCTTGATGATGGTTGACCAATTCACCAAATGGGTGGAGTGCATAGCTTTGCCTACCCAAACGGCTGAGGTGACAGCCAAAGCTGCCGTAGATGGTTTTTTCTCTAGATTTGGGTGCCCTTTCCAAGTATTTACAGATCAAGGAAGAAACTTCGAGAGCAAATTGTTCACTGAACTTTGCACCCTACTACAGATACATAAAACCAGGACAACCCCATATCGTCCCTCTGCTAATGGACAAGTGGAGCGATTTAATCGCACCCTCCTGCAAGCCATTCGTTGCCACATAGATGCAAATCAATCCAGGTGGGATGAATTTTTACCACAACTGGCAGGAGCATTGATGTCTGCAGTTAATCGGCAAACGGGATATACCGCCAACATGCTGATGCTTGGTAGGGAAATCAATCAACCTGCAGAGCTAGTCTTCAGCGCCACGCAGGAGGAATCTCCATCCTTGAACCCTGATACATATGTGCATCAGCTAGCCTCAGCTCTTGGTGAGGTACATCGCCTTGCCAGTAATAAATTGCAAACTACCCAGCTCCAAATGAAGAGGGATTACGATTTGAGGATTTTGTCCCGAAAGTTTGAAGAGGGGGAGATGGCGTATATACTGGACACTGCCTCCATACAAGGAAAGTGCAAGAAGTTGTCTCCATCCTAGAAAGGACCCGGGATAATCACTACTAGGATTTCCAATACACTGTATGAAGTCCGGACAAGGAAGACAACATCAGTACATCACCATGATCGCCTCAAGCCTTGTCGAGATCGCGTAATTCCAAGTTGGATCCAGAGGTTATCTAAGACAAAGAGTACTTCTGATACTCAAGAGGATCTCAACTTGGAGTGGCTCTTCAAGGACCAAACAAATTATTGTATCTGTAATAAACCCGATGATGGACGATTAATGATAGGCTGTGACCGATGTGACCAATGGTTTCATGGAGCCTGCGTTGGAATCACCAAGAGAACAGCAAACGCTCTGGATGAATACATTTGTCCTCACTGCACCACAGGAAAGGACAGAGTATCCTAGAGGGAAAACTCGAATGTTTCAGAAAAATGGTATTCCAAAGACGTGGACGCTCCAGCGAACGCCATGGAGCCAGGAGCAGGGAGGCCTCAACTTCCTACTGGGCTGGAGACTTGCTATCTACGTCTTCGGGCTCCCAGACCAGCCTAGGAGCTCCAACATCTCCAGGAAGAAGGTCCCCTGCCCCTCATCATGAACGATCAATGTCAGATCAATCCCTGGGACATGTACCAGACCTATCCAAAACGTCCAAGGATAGTGGATACCAGCTCCAGGCCGCACACTCAAGGAAAAGAAGCCCTGAGGATCTCATCATATCTTCCAGGAAGCGAGCCTGTCCGAGCCCGGATAGACGGCAGGTGGCCTCTGTCGTCTATCTTCCTGTTGCCAGCCGGGAGCGAAAAGTCCCACCACGCCCGTCTTACCGACAATCGCGCCGGCAATCACCCAGGCGATCACCCCGGCGTCAGGTGTCTGTGTATTACAACACTGCACGACACAGGCAGCACTCCTCCCCTGTAAGACGAACCGCTCCCAGAAAGGAACAGCGCTCTTCACCCCGGAGACATGTCTCTCCAAGACGGGAACGACGACCTTCGCCGCATAGACATATCTCAAGACGGGAAGTTCCCAGGCAGGAGCGACATGTCTCCCCCAGACGGGATCGACGCCCTAGGTCAAGGAGGCAAGCCCCAGAGCCAAGGCATCAGGCTTCTCCCTCCCGACAGGTCAGGTCAATTAACCAAGGGCTGAGCGTCTCTGTCATTAACAAGGCCGCCCCGAAAATAGCAGCTCGATTCCAGAGTAGTCATCCCCACGGAATGGGATCGAGCTGTCCAATACGGACGTGCGGTACAAGAACCAGGACGCTGCGCCACCATGCCTACGGAGCTCACCTCCCCCCCTGTTTCCGTGACTCCGTACCAGCATCACAAGAAACGGCAGTTGAAATGATATCGGCCATAGAAGACCTTGCCCGGCAGATCTTGGGAGCAGGAGCTACCTGGACGGAATTACACCAGTTCGTCCTAAGGAATAGCCTTGTTCCCAAAGACATACCCCTAAGAGGAAGCTGCTACGGGCATATAAAAGAGTTATGTAACATCAAAGGATGGCCGTTACCATTGGATTCCGTCAACCTGTCGCCAGATAGCCCTGCCTGCCTAATACATTGGAGGATCTTGGTAGCCCTTCTGGATGTCACCTCGGATGGAGTCCGAAACCATTTCAGGAACTTCGGGAACCTTCTGCCACTGCCAGGACCATCGCCATCTGTGCAAGCCACGCCAATAGCAGAGCTTCCCGGAACATCCACTCGACCGACTCCATCCTCAGCGCCGCCGAATCCAGAGAGACTTCCCAGGGGTTTTGACACCCATTTCCACTCCGATAGGATGCGCAGCAGGCTCCATCTGGACGCTGCCACACCCCTGGAAGAGGTCCTGGACAAGGCCGGCCAGCCAAAAGAGGTAACCATCAACCTTCAGAGGGCGCTACAGATCTTTTGCGACCCAACAACCTGGCCCCAACAACCAACTTTCCATCAGTGTTGGAAGACAGCTGTCGGTTTCCACCCAAAGAATGTGCAGGCCATGGACCCCGACCAACTAGACAAGTTAAGGCACCTGCTATCATCCCAGGATGTAATCGCCTTCGGGGAAATTGGCCTGGACTTCACTGTGGGAAACTGGCAACGGCAAGGGCAAGTCCTAGGGCAGCTCTTCAAGCTGGCACCATCAACCAAGCCAATCATCCTCCACCTCAGGGGCACTACCGCAGACACCTATCAACAGGCTCCACTACAGGAATGCCTACAAATCGCCAAGACTGCGGGAGTACCGTCCACCCAGAGATTCCATCTCCATTGTTTCTCTGGGTCATTTAAAGAAGTGGCACTGTGGACCAAGCACTTCCCTGAGACGTGGTTTGGACACACCGGGATGGTGGCCAGCTTTGATGACCAACAAATATCAGCGTTGCGGTTCCTTAACGCCAAGCGCTTCCTTTTGGAGACGGATGCCCCATATCTGTGGCTTCGCCCAGGTCGCCGAGGAGTTAACAGCCCAAGACTACTGGGTGAAGTTGCAGCTATGGTGGCCACTGCCCGACAGAGCACCACCGCCAACATCCTGGAGCGTGCTTATGTCAACGCAAGGCAGCTGTACAGGGTATAGTTATTCCCGCCAGATGAATGGGATTTCTGAATCTGACTTGGTCAGGACTGGAACTGAGTCCACCGATCCGGTCTAGATTCTAGGATTCTCATAGAAACATTGTCCTAATCTGACTTGGTCAGGACTGGAACTGAGTCCACCGATCCGGTCTAGATTCTAGGATTCTCACAGAAACATTGTCCTAATCTGACTTGGTCAGGACTTGAACTGAGTCCACCGATCCGGTCTAGATTCTAGGATTCTCATAGAAACATTGTCCTAATCTGACTTGGTCAGGACTGGAACTGAGTCCACCGATCCGGTCTAGATTCTAGGATTTTCATAGTAGCTTTGTCGTCTATTTAAGTTACGTGAACCAACTCGGTTGCCACCAAACAATCTGGTTGGGGATTTTCTTATTTAAGGCGTATAACTAATCTTAACCATGAGTTACGCGAACTGTCTCGGTTGATAGCACAAACTGCTGCCCAACCCTGCAGGGATTTTCTCATGTTTTGGCAAGGTCACCTGTTAGATCCTCCATGTCCTCCTGAGACCACAATGGGGGGCAAGTCCAGAAAAGAGGGAGGAATGTAGTGATTGGTGCTTCCACACTCGTACATTGGGTTACATCGGATTGGCCACCCGATGTTACTCGTATGTTTCCGGGTGTGATCGAGGCACGTGATCAACTTACCCGCCAAATCTGACAGGTGACAATGGACAGATTGAGACTAGACAGCCGACCGAACAGACCGAACCCACTGAAGCTTATACGTTCTCGATCTCCCCTTCATCCAGCTTACGCTGTAAGGTAAGCGCCTTTCCCTATCACTAGGCTTTCACAACACTTATACTACTGAGGGTGTTGTATTGAGTAAACCTGTTGCTATGCCAACACATCTTTCTTTTCAGGGCCTCAGGTTGTACAAGAAGACACACACGTTTACAACTTTACTCTGGGCAACAGGTAAGCCAATGGACACCTGCATATTTAGCAAAACATAAACAGTAGGATGCTGGACTTGAATCATAGAGTTATCTGCACATAAGCTAGAGCGAAGCAGTTTCGTAGGCAGCGATTGGACGACACTAAACATGTCGTTCATTGGTCCACAGGTTCTGATGAAAACAGAGGAAAAACGGAAAGTTTATGTTTTCATAAATATAATTAGATCAACTTGTTATCAGGTTGTTTCCCCCAAAGCGAACTTCCGAGGTGTAGACATGTCCCCAATACTCACGATGTTTACGTTTCGTAAATAAGGACGCTAGCATGCGCACATATTACCGGAAAAGGTACAAATTTGTACCACATTAGGTATAAAAGGTCATAGCTTACTACGCCAGGTGGAACCAGATTAGGCAATGGCAATGAAAATACTTTATTTCCTGTAAGGGAATTCTTTGTACAAATGAAGTGAAAACAAATTGTATACTAAAATGACATGACAGTACAAAGGTCTGGGCAGCACAAGGTGGAGGTAACACAGATTTCTTTATGAAATTATTTAAGTAAAGAATTAGAGATTGCAACGACCAAGATTGGCACGCGTTCATGATAACAAACCCCTGTTTGGTATTGTATTCATGTATAAAGCTACGCGTGAAGATCCGAGGTAGAATAGGTCTTCAGCAACCCATACTTGCCGTGAAGATCCGGGGTAGAATAGGTCTTCAGCAACCCATGCTTGTCTCCCCGTGAAGATCCGGGGTAGAATAGGTCTTCAGCAACCCATACTTGCGTAAAAGGCGACTAACGGGATCGGGTGGTCAGGCTCGCTGACTTGGTTGATGCATGTCATCGATTCCAATTGCGTGGATCAATGTTCATGTTCATTGGATTGTCTGGTCCAGACTCGATTATTTACAGACCGCCGTCATATAGCTGTAATATTGCTGAGTGCGGCGTTAAACAACAAACCAAACCAAATCATGTATAAAGCCATCCTTTCAACCTGGAAATATTAACATCGCCAGGTATAGAATTGCACTGCTGAAATGTAGTCGGTTATAATTTATTGGGTATTCAGAAAGATAGAAGCAGGTCTGTTGGTGTAGAGAACATGTTTGTGTGCCCAGAATGTAATGTACTGGAAGAGGAAGCTCACGTAATTTTAGTTGTCCTCTGTACTTACAGATACGAAGCAAATATGTGTAAGCATGCGAGCATCTCGACACTTTTGTTAGACACGACATAGTATTAATAAGATGATTTTTGATATAGCAAAGTACCTTTGTTTACATATTCTTTATGAGAAAAGAATTGTAGTTTATATTTACTATATATATATATATATATATATATATATATATATATATATATATATATATATATAATGTTACAAGTGGTTGTTATAATACTTACACAGTCACATCTTACATACGTTGTGATTTTGTGAATCACATGACTATCTGCACCGTTGGTCTTATGGCCTTTCACCGCAATAAATCCTTACAAGGTCTAAGATCTCTAAAAAGAATTTGAAAACGCGGCAATAAATATCGCCGGGAAGGAGGTACAAGTGCATACTCTTTGTTTAATTTTTTTCGTGGTCAGCAAATAATTTTGAGGCTTAAATTTAAAACATGCATTTGGTATAAAATAGATCAACTGTCAAAAGCGACACACAGCTACTAAAACAATCTTGTCTAAACGTGATTTGTTTGAACTTAAGTGCTCCGTACTAGCACTGAATAAAACAACGAAAAGAAAGAGAAAAGTGAATACTCTCGTGTTGACATAAAAATATCCCAATTTAGGCTGAAACTGTCTTTGTTAACGGTATTTATAAACAGCAACAGTGTTGATATGCCAGTTTAACAAATTACCTACAAATTTACCTCATTATTAATCACACCTTCCACAGACCCGCGACTGATGGTGACAGGCGTTTTGTTTTTCTTCTGTCTAAAATCAGTTATTAATTCATTCACATTTAACACAAGATAACTGTCATCAAACTACATTGCGATATACTAATTCCCTCTCTGTAGTACTGTTCATTGTCTCTAACGAGAGCAACCAATGCAAGCGGGAGAATGGTAGCTCTTGAATCATAGTTTGTTTGTTTGTTTGTTTGTTTGTTTGTTGTTTAACGCCAAACTCAGCAGTATTCTAGCTATATGACTGTAAATAATCGAGCCTGGATCAGACAATCCACTGATTGCCATCACGAGCATCGATCCACGCAATCGGGATACGATGACATGTACCAACCAAGTCAGCGAGCCTGACCACCTGATCCCGTTAGTCGCCTCTTACGACAAGCGTGCAACCATAGGGGTAGCTGGGGTAACGATGTAGTAGCTCACTGCTAAAATCTTCCTCCCTGCACGGTGAAGACAATGCAGACAGGACGCTGAATGTCCGTGCACGCACTGTCATGACCCCGCCTACAGGGGGGTAGTCATAGATTGACACCCTTGTATTGGCTTGTATTGACACCCTTGTATTGGCTTGTATTGACACCCTTGTATTGGCTTGTATTGACACCCTTGTTAGCACTAGATCTACCCTGACGTCCATGAGGTGACGTCACAACATGTTACCTTGTGTTGCAGGTCTTCCCTGAGTGCGAGTGACAACGTAATGGAAGGTAAGACCCACGTGATGCATCCACAGTGAAATATATTCGCAAATGCTTAAATATTCTAGTTTTTTTCATTTCCACCAGAAAGGTAATTTTGTAGTCTAGGGCGTAGCAGTTTGCTATGCACAGTTGCATAACGTCTTTTGGTATGACGCGGCCTGGGATCAAACCCCGGACCTTCCACTCTCCGGGTGGACGCTCTACCACTAGACCACGGAGGCGGCCCCGATGTAAGATGACACGATGTAAGATGACACGTGGTGGTATAACTGACAAACTGCAGTGTGTTCTGATAAACTTTCTCACTCAATCATCATGATAATTTGATGGTTCTTTGCCCATTCAGCTGATGTCATCAGCCAGCAGAGACACCAAATCATGAACTACCAGTACGCCAGTGAGTGATCACATCATATTAGACTTACATAGTCTTAACTAAAATAACATAACTTAAATGTCTCTAAGATGTTACAAGAAATGGACTTTCAAACATCCAGCTTGGGTTATACCAACAAAAGAGAACCAGATATGAACAAGATTTTTTATTGAAATGAAAGTGAAAAAAAAATAGAATATAATTATGTGTAAAACACATGTTTCACCTGCGACGTCTTCGTTTTAGTTCCTGGTATCGCTTGTTTGTTGTATGGACTAGGTTAGTGCAGTAGTATTCCTTGTGACCTTGACCTCGAGGCTATACGTGACCTATGATCACAGCATTCAAGACGTGACTTTCGTTTTTAACCTATCAAAGATTTGACGTTCAGTTCACTGCAGTGCGTGTTTTCTAACGTATAAACTCGTTGTATCTGTGTTCACTCATCGTAAATTACGATTTGCGGGTTGGAAACTAACTCTTTGTAAGCAAATGTAACGTTTTTGGAATTTTAAAATTTTGAAAACTGCAGCATTTGGCGTGTGTGCGGTTGTTCTTCTAACTATGCTGATGTACTTCCCAAGTCGACCCCCCAAACCTCCTTCTCCATCTGCTGCAACCACAAGACTGGACTACCTGGCAGGTCTCAAACAGCTCTTTAGGTGAGAGCACGCTTAAGGTTATCTTTGTAACTTTGTATACATATACTCTTAAAAAAAGAAACGCACAGGTAGTATGTAGTTCATTGAACCTGACGACACCACAAATCCGGTATATAAACTCGATATATGATATTGGAAAATGTTGGTGGCCTGATATTCGTCAAACTGTGCGTCGAAACGCAGGCATTGTCGATTTGCAATGTCTTAAACAGCATTGTTTTCACACTTGTTAAAAAATGTCATGGGGAAAAACAGTAAAGCAAAATGCACGTGCAAGTTATGACATTCGTAACTCGTGGTATTGGCTATAAAAAGGCAAGCATAAGCAAATAATTTGTCATTCAATTGTCAACATTTTTAAAGTTCGAAATTGCCGAGACTCAGTGCTGCCGATCGGAACATCGCCATAGGACGTATCCAAAGCGTGGAATCGCAGTCATCTGTTGCACGCCACTTCAACGTCTACCACAGCGCCATTTGCCGCCTTTGGGGCCGATACACACAGTTCAATTCCACTGCAGACCGTCCGAGAACCGACCGTCTAAGACTTACCACCCCTGCACAGGATCGCTACATTCGACTGTTCCACCAACGTCATCGCAATGTCACAGCTACGCAGACTGCAGGACGCATTCCTGGTTTGAGGAGTATATCAGACCAGACTGTCAGGGTCCATCTTGGCGAAGCTGGAAACCGACCCAGAAGACCAGTTATCGTCCCTGTTTTGCAACAGATCCATCGACAGCGACGCGTGCGTTGGTGCCCTACCTTACAGCCTTGGAATTTGAGAAACTGGAGACGAGTGTGGTTTAGCGATGGATCACGATTTCTTCTTTACCGGCGAGATAGAAGACAACGTGTTTATCGTCGTCGAAATGAGCGTTTTGCCCCACATTGTGTACGTGAATTCGAAAATTTGGTGGCGGTAGTGTCATGGTGTGGGGGCCATGTCCTACACCACGAGATCTGACTTGGTTGTGGTTCAGGGAAATTTGACAGCAAATCGCTACATGAATCAAATTCTTCAACCTCACCTTCTCCCAATGATTGACCGTCAGAGGGAGCTGTTTCAATAGGACAACGCTCCACCGCACACAGCTCGTGTCACGGTAGACTACCTTCACAATGACAACATCAACGTCCTGCCCTGGCCGTCGAGATCTCCAGATCTCAACCTTATCGAACATCTCTGAGATTAACTCGATCGACGTGTACGTCAACGTCCGAACACGCTGCAGACACTCCCACTACTGGCCAACGCGTTACATGCAGAATGGCGCAGAATTCCGCAGGACAGAGTTCGTACACTTATCCAGTCCATGAAATGCAGAGCGTGATTGCTGCCCGGGGCGGTCACACGAGATACTGAGTTCAGCGCAACCTTGTGGCCTTATGTGACATGACAATGAACAGTTTTCAATGCCTTTGTACAACGACAACATGTGACTTTCGAGCTCCAAAATTTCATATTTGTATCTATGATATTAAAATATATATATCGACTTTAGTAGGTACAATAAATTTAATAAAAATCTACCTGTGCGTTTCGTTTTTTGAAGAGGGTATACATTTATTCTATACGCTAATTCAGTATTCACCTGAAGGAACAAGAAGTAGCTGTACGTCGTTTTAAAGAATAGAAGAAGTTGTCATCCATAAACATGTGTGATGTATTAAAACTATCCTTGTTGTAAGACGCTAAAAATGGTTAGGCTTGGTTGACTGCATGTCATGGTACTCGGCGTCGGAGTCTCATAATATCAAATCCATTCTCTGATCTAGATTCGATAACTTACATTCCGGATATTGCCACACGTGGCCTTCAACATCAAACACACATACCGAATGAAAATAGATGAAAACATAATAATTTAGCATTACTTGTGTTTAAAACATCAGAGCACACGATGCAACATGAGATTGTGTTTTAATTTAAAACCAGAAAAAATCTTGAAGCTTTTGATATCCAACTTCAGCCTAACTCAACACCAGCAAGGTATAAGTCTTTAAAGGAACAGCCCAGACATTCAAATTATGTGCTCAATAAAGTATTATGAACTCAACGAACAAGCAGTTATAAACCTACTGGCTGTTTGTGTAACTCGATATGGAATTTTTGAAATTGTGGTAACACCTGGTAATAGGGCTTACAATCATTGTAAACCCTTGATAGAACAAAAACTACGAACAGCCTACGAGACGCACGTGCAGATTTCGTGCCATTGCGAGACGCACGTGCAGATTTCGCACCGTTGCGAAACCCACGTGCTGAGGTCACCGGTTTCATTGAACCGAGTTCACGACTGCAGGCGATATTTCATCTCCGATACAGGTTATACATTTGAGAGTTTTTATTACAATTATTTAATTATAAACGTTGTCTATGCGATGAGTCGGTTTATAAGTTGAACAAAACGTTTCTCCTCGGGATTACCAGCGATTGTAAACCCTGACATGAGGTGACATATGTCAGGGTTTACAATCGCTGGTAATCCCGAGGAGAAATGGTTTCTCCTATACATGGAACACACTACCACTTTTTCTAATTTGTATGCCTATTCAATATTATGTAGTGTTTGGTGTAATTCTAAACAATGTGATGAAACCTGCAGGAAGGGGCGATTCTGGCAGATAGGATTGGCCTATGGTGTGTCAACGGGAACTCGCGATGCCTGGTCCTCAATGCTTGACGTCAATCTGAAGGCACACGAGATATCGCAGGTACTCTTTGATATTGAAGCTTTTTCAAACTACTGTTATGTCCGACACTGAATAAAAGCGGCACAACTCGGTCCATAACCATAATAATAAAAGTGACAAAACCTTCCCCATATTAATAAAAAATCTCGGTCAAAAACAGTCGATTGTACGATTCCGACTATATCGCAAGAACGGGATTAGGAATCACTATCACATAGTGATGATACCAGGCCTATCCCGCCCCACCGGTGGCACCCGTCACAGACACATGCACAGGAATGTCAATTCTTGATCTGAGAAAAACCACGGGAACACATGGTACAAGTCAAGATAGGGAATTGCATCGGACATAATTTTTTGTCACTGATGTGTCAAATTTGGAAATTTCCTCCACATGTCTACCCTAAAACTTTGTAAAAGCTTTCTTGAAGCCTTTACTGTTGTAACCTTGATCAAACAAAATCTTGGTAGAACCAGCCTGCTCGATTTTACCTCAAAAGTTGTGTAGACACCAAGGACTGGGGCTGCAGGAATATTGCTAGACATAAAGCGAAAGTTGACAAATGGAAAGTTGAAGTCATCACTCTTGTCATAGTCTTGTGGAGTGTGTTATGTCTCTCTGAATCTTTATGTATAGATCTAAACATGAAGCAGATGAAGCGGTCTCACCGGTTTCCTAAATTTATAGTAAACGAGTGGTATCATCGATACAGCTGAAGGTTAAGTTCAACTTCTTGGCCAAATTACCTTGTTTGAAGAAATGTCCAGGGTCCATTGCACGGTCCTGAATGTGTCCTAAGCATGTGTTTATGAATCTATGTAATTTAGTTATGATATCAAGTGTTCACGCAAAGGTGAGCATATCCTGCCTCACCGGTGTCATTGTCACAAACACATGGAAGGGCAAGTCAAATGTCCACCTGAGAAACAACAACACGGGTTCAAGCTAAACTAGGAGACTTGCATTGGGCATTATGTTGGAAATGTTGTAACCCTGTTCAAACAACTTTAAGAAAGAGTCGTATGACGCTCTTAGAAATATTAACAGAAAAGCAATCCTCGATTCTACCTCAAACGTTGTGAAATGTAGACACCAAAGGAATATTGCTCGTCATAAAGGGGAAGTTGACAAATGGAAAGTGGAAGTCATCCCTCAATGAGGACATTATGTCACCAGAGTTTTTATGCATATATCTAAATATGGAACACGGGTCTCGTGTATTTCTCGTTCATGTGGGTAAATCAGTGGAAGGGAATTGGCTATTTGACTTTTATTCAACGACATCCGAATAATGATGTAAAGAAGCTGAGGTTGGCCGATTCATCTGCTCACCGAATCAGATCAGCAAGAAGAGGAGCGTGATTGATGCCTTGCGGATGTCTACTTCTTGCCTAAATGTCATATTCCCTATTTCACATAGATGTTATCCATGAGAAAGTTCAATCATTATTCTCTCAGATGGTATTTGCTTCCATTTCTGACAATGTCCAGAACCTGAAGGTAGTACATTTCACCTAAAGTTATTTACCTGTTGATTTTACCAAATATAATGGTCATTATTCGTTTAGCGAATATGCTATGGACAATTCAACTTTGATAGGGATATTTCCTATTATGCCTCTATTTGAGAATATTTTTATGTACTATTCCTATTATGTTTTATTTCCTAATATGCCATTAATACTAAACAACTAGAAATATGGCAGTATCATGCAACACAAATACATCCATTTATACCAATAGAGCAATAACATAAATGATTGTTTGTTCCATAGAAACAGGCAGGATGGCTTGGATTCTATGGAACTATAGCTGGGTCAATTGCAGTCATTGTTACAGCAAGGTAGGACGCTAGTTGTCGTGGTATTGCTACAGGGATATATGACATGTTGCTATGTTGGTTGCGACACGTAACAATAATGCATTCCCTACATGTACATGCGAGGTGTCGGTTGATATTTGGTTGATATGTAGTAGATATTTGGTAGATATATTATCATGTTGTTTACAGATTTGCCGATCACTTCCAGAAACGACTGAAGCTATTTATCTTGTTGCTGACGATTATCACCACAGCGGCGTATTTGTGGCTGATTTTGTTGATACTGGGCATTTTACCCGAATCAAAAGGTAGAAAACTTCGATATCTCTGCAATGTTTTATATAATATGAGGGTAACGCTAAGACCGAGGGCTTCTGCAAAGATAATCCCCTGAAAAATAGCGTTACCGTTATTATAGCTAAACTGAAAAGAATTTGCTATCAAATAAACATAAAGAACAATACCGATTTTGAAACATTTACTGCAATCAACACACAACGATTGTCACTGACCCAGATTTTACAAATACGGAAACGTGTTGAACAAACCTAATGACGTCACTATTGAACGTCATTTCATCTCGCGTAACAACGGGCGTGATAATGTCCCGTGGTCAAGCAATATGAGAGCATTATCAAATTACAGTAGCCCGCTCATTTCTGAAAACATGCCGGTTTAATGGATATATGATAATTCTATCCATTTTAGCTATAAATATCAATAAAAAACAGTTATCAAAACAAAGTGATAAACTGGGTTTGCACGGACATAACGGCTCTTATATATCCTGTAGACTGTAGAGGATGATAGTCCACTGGGCTGTATTAGCACTGATATATTACACTCGATACAACCAGTGTGCCACCTCACCACCGTCATTTACTGCTGACATATTGCAGGCTGCAGTGTTTAACAATATTCGCTCAGTACGAGAACTACTTGTGATCGTTAAGATCTCAAATTTTGCGTGTTTGTTGCCACACTTATCAATATTCCAGCCACATGACAGTGGCCTGTAAATAATTGATAATTGACCAGATAATCCAGTGATTGTTATTATGAGCAATGATTCATGCTGTCGCAGTTGTGTCACGCTACTAACCACGTCACAGAGTCTGGTAACCTGTCAAATTAAGTCTCCTCATACGACAAGCAGAAGTTGCTGGGAACCAGTTTTATCCCTGAATCCCCGCTCTCTCCCTGAATGCCCGCTCTCTCCCTGAATCCCCACTCTCTCCCTGAATCCCCGCTCTCTCCCTGAATCCCCACTCTCTCCCTGAATCCCCGCTCTCTCCCTGAATCCCCGCTCCCTCCCTGAATCCCTGAATAAAAGTGCAGTAATCTTGGACGCGACGTTAAGCTCCATTTCACCCTACCTCACCTCACCTAGAGTGGAGATATTGATTTGTTAAGAACAGGTTTTCCCGCGCAATTTATTTTGTTACCTGTCATAAAAATAGAAAGAAATGTGAAACGAAAGACGTAGTTAGATATAGACATTGTATGGTTTTCCAGAAAATCTAAGTACAAAATAAAACCTTTCTCATAGGTACCCTCTGCCTTTTCCATGTTGTTTCCACTTTTTTTAAATCGCCTCGAAAAGAATATGAAGTGGTTCGCCCCTCCCTCCCCCCAATCCCCAATGTACGGCGATTTCAAAGGTTGACTGTTTTGAAGTGTTATTTAACCTGAATCCCCGCTCTCTCCCTGAATGCCCGCTCTCTCCCTGAACCCCCGCTCTCTCCCTGAACCCCCGCTCTCTCCCTGAGCCCCCGCTCTCTCCCTGAATCCCCGCTCTCTCCCTGAATGCCCGCTCTCTCCCTGAATGCCCGCTCTCTCCCTGAATGCCCGCTCTCTCCCTGAACCCCCGCTCTCTCCCTGAGCCCCCGCTCTCTCCCTGAATCCCCGCTCTCTCCCTGAGCCCCCGCTCTCTCCCTGAATCCCCGCTCTCTCCCTGAGCCCCCGCTCTCTCCCTGAATCCCCGCTCTCTCCCTGAATCCCCGCTCTCTCCCTGAATCCCCGCTCTCTCCCTGAACCCCCGCTCTCTCCCTGAATCCCCGCTCTCTCCCTGAATGCCCGCTCTCTCCCTGAATGCCCGCTCTCTCCCTGAACGCTCTCTCCCTGAATGCCCGCTCTCTCCCTGAACCCCCGCTCTCTCCCTGAATCCCCGCTCTCTCCCTGAATCCCCGCTCTCTCCCTGAATCCCCGCTCTCTCCCTGAATGCCCGCTCTCTCCCTGAATCCCCGCTCTCTCCCTGAATGCCCGCTCTCTCCCTGAATGCCCGCTCTCTCCCTGAATCCCCGCTCTCTCCCTGAATCCCCGCTCTCTCCCTGAATCCCCGCTCTCTCCCTGAACCCCCGCTCTCTCCCTGAATCCCCGCTCTCTCCCTGAATGCCCGCTCTCTCCCTGAATGCCCGCTCTCTCCCTGAACCCCCGCTCTCTCCCTGAACCCCCGCTCTCTCCCTGAGCCCCCGCTCTCTCCCTGAATCCCCGCTCTCTCCCTGAATGCCCGCTCTCTCCCTGAATGCCCGCTCTCTCCTTGAATGCCCGCTCTCTCCCTGAGCCCCCGCTCTCTCCCTGAATCCCCGCTCTCTCCCTGAATGCCCGCTCTCTCCCTGAATGCCCGCTCTCTCCCTGAACCCCCGCTCTCTCCCTGAGCCCCCGCTCTCTCCCTGAATCCCCGCTCTCTCCCTGAGCCCCCGCTCTCTCCCTGAATCCCCGCTCTCTCCCTGAGCCCCCGCTCTCTCCCTGAATCCCCGCTCTCTCCCTGAATCCCCGCTCTCTCCCTGAATCCCCGCTCTCTCCCTGAATCCCCGCTCTCTCCCTGAATGCCCGCTCTCTCCCTGAATGCCCGCTCTCTCCCTGAACGCTCTCTCCCTGAATGCCCGCTCTCTCCCTGAACCCCCGCTCTCTCCCTGAATCCCCGCTCTCTCCCTGAATCCCCGCTCTCTCCCTGAATCCCCGCTCTCTCCCTGAATGCCCGCTCTCTCCCTGAATCCCCGCTCTCTCCCTGAATGCCCGCTCTCTCCCTGAATGCCCGCTCTCTCCCTGAATCCCCGCTCTCTCCCTGAATCCCCGCTCTCTCCCTGAATCCCCGCTCTCTCCCTGAACCCCCGCTCTCTCCCTGAATCCCCGCTCTCTCCCTGAATGCCCGCTCTCTCCCTGAATGCCCGCTCTCTCCCTGAACGCTCTCTCCCTGAATGCCCGCTCTCTCCCTGAATCCCCGCTCTCTCCCTGAATCCCCGCTCTCTCCCTGAATCCCCGCTCTCTCCCTGAATCCCCGCTCTCTCCCTGAACCCCCGCTCTCTCCCTGAATCCCCGCTCTCTCCCTGAATGCCCGCTCTCTCCCTGAACGCTCTCTCCCTGAATGCCCGCTCTCTCCCTGAATGCCCGCTCTCCGCTCTCTCCCTGAATCCCCGCTCTCTCCCTGAATCCCCGCTCTCTCCCTGAATGCCCGCTCTCTCCCTGAATCCCCGCTCTCTCCCTGAATCCCCGCTCTCTCCCTGAATCCCCGCTCTCTCCCTGAATCCCCGCTCTCTCCCTGAGCCCCCGCTCTCTCCCTGAATGCCCGCTCTCTCCCTGAATGCACGCTCTCTCCCTGAATCCCCGCTCTCTCCCTGAATCCCCGCTCTCTCCCTGAATCCCCGCTCTCTCCCTGAACGCTCTCTCCCTGAATGCCCGCTCTCTCCCTGAATCCCCGCTCTCTTAAATGAACTTGCAAACCACCCGTAACACGGCCATGTATGTTATGTTAAAGGGGTGATATTCTCTTTGACAATCCTGGATGTATTTAGATACCGCATCAACATAAAAAAGGGCTTATACTCTTACTAGTAGTGGAGATAGACAGCCTCCAAAGTAAAGTGGTAGGGCCTCCGCCGGGGGAGCGGCGTCATACCAAACGATGTTGAAAGATGGTATTTGTTGTTATCCTGTCTGGCTCTTGGCATTAAGGAGCTAAAACAAGGACTGGTCGGCTCGGAGTCAGTATACTGTGTCTGAGTGGGGTATTCATGTTTAACTGCGGCATGGTATATCACTAGGCTTGCACTATCAAACGGCATCAGTCCGGACTAGTACAAGCAGCCACAGTCCCACGTGCATGCATGTCGCTATAAAAGTGCAGTAATCTTGGACGCGACGTTAAGCTCCATTTCACCTCACCTCACCTCACCTAGAGTGGAGATATTGATTTGTTAAGAACAGGTTTTCCCGCGCAATTTATTTTGTGTTACCTGTCATAATGTGAAACGAAAGACGTAGTTAGAAATAGACATTGTATGGTTTTCAGAAAATCTAAGTACAAAATAAAACCTTTCTCATAGGTACCCACTGCCTTTTCCATGTTGTTCTGGAATAAATACTTTTTTAAATCGCCTCGAAAAGAATATGAAGTGGTTCGCCCCAATGTACGGCGATTTTAAAGGTTGACTGTTTTGAAGTGTTATTTGACCTCCTTTATACCAATGCAAAAAATGAAACAAGGACTGTCTTCCCACTGGCTGTTCTATGTTCAGTTATTTATAAGATTACATGAGCACAATTACTGTATACTCCCAATCCATTCATTGAAGGCAACATAGTGAAGGCGAGCCCTGATCCAGTTAGTCATGTTGGCGACGCCCTTACAGAACTAAAATCACACTCCCATGATTCGTGAATATGGAATTCGAACGTTATTATTAATCGGGAAAATAAAACTATTAAACCCGTTGTTCTATCTGCAGGGTCTACGTATGCATCTTATATCCTGACCTCCATTAGCAGCGGGTCCCTCAGTCCGCTGTTTTATGAACTTGTCTGTGAGACGTCCTACCCTGTAGCAGAGGGCGTCACTAATGTCAGCCTCACCTCCATGAACAATCTGGCAGGCTTGGTGTTCCTGGGAGTCATGTCAGTGCCTGGGATAGGTAGGTTCCTGCATATTGAAACAACTGTTTTGTATTTCTGAGACCACAGCAGGTGCGTGGGATGCAGATCGGGACAAACAGATGCTTTCAAATATATTTGATGGACTTGATCATAGTTGTTTTTTATTATCATCATAAATTTGAATTTTAATAATTAATCTCGACATTTCGGCAAGTGCTAAAATGGTATAGAATGAAGTAGAATGACGTAGAATGAGGTAGGATGAGGTAGACTAAGGTAGAATGATATAGGTGGAATGACGAAGAATAAAAAAGAACGGCATAGAATGAGTAGAATGGTGAACAATGAGGTAGATAGCGGTCTAAAAGAATGATTCACAGTGATATATAATGATGCGGAATGAAGTAAAATGCTATTGAATGAGTACAGTGGTGTAGATTCATGGAGAATGAAGGAGCTTGACGCAGAATAATAGGATGAGGTATACATAAAGATATAGAATGATAGACAATGGTTTGGAATGAGGTAGAATGCAATAGAATGAGTATAATGAGGTAGCTTAAGGTTGGATCATCTGGAGTAATGTTGAATCACATAATTATATAGATGTACAATGAGGTAGAATAATGTGACTTTTAAAGGGTTAGGTGGTAGGAGGTAGAATAATATACATATCGAATAAAATAGAATGAGGTAGAATGATATAGAATCCAGTGACATCGAATGCCACCATCTCCGAACCTGTGTACCGAGCAAACCCAACACATAATGCTATTATTGAACACTAGTTCCCTAATATGGTTACTTTTTGTAAGATGTTTGTCTTCATGCAAATATTTTGTGTCTTGTTTATTACAAACTCAGATTGACAACACAGCTCATACTGAATCTAAAGTAACGTGGAGCTTTCTGTTCAGGGACTGTCTGGATGAACTGGCTGCTTGTGTCAACCTTCTGTCTGGCTATATTCCTGCTGATTCTCCTGCCAGAGGGTCACAACCGCCTCGACGTCGACCAGCAGCAAGGGGACCCAGCTCAGGGTACATGTTGAAGGGTTAGGATCAGGGTAAGGGTTAGGGTTTGAGGACACAACCGCCTCGACGTCGACCAGCAAGGGGGCCAAGCTCAGGGTACATGTTGAAGGGTTAGGGTTAGGGTTAGAGTTAGGATTAGGGTTTGAGGACACAAACGCCTAGACATCGACCAGCAGCAAGGGGGCCAAGCTCAGGGTATATGTTGAAGGTTGAGGGTTAGGGTTAGGATTTGAGGACACCACCTCCTAGACGTCGACCAGCAAGGGAACAAAGTTCAGGGTACATGTTAAAGGGTTAGGGTTAGGGTTAGGGTTTGAGGACACAACCGCCTAGACGTCAACCAGCAGGACGGGAGTCAAGCTGAGGGTAGATGTTGAAGTCGCTTGAACCACACATGAAAAGTGAAGGAACAGTATTTCAGTCACGGCGTGTCAACTCAATGTAAGAGGGGAGCTTTTAGTGACACAGGTATAATAACCAAGGAGATACATTTTGTGACACCAAAATGGTCACGTTAAATGCGAATCAGGTCATGTATTTGAGAGATAGGCATAAGATCATAAGGTCTGTCATAAGATAATGTCTTTCTAATATACAGAAGGTACGTCTGTCTACCTGTGCAATATGAAACGTCACCGCCAGAGAATAATCCGCCTCGTGTATCTGCAGAAGCCATAGGGCGTAAATGGCAAAATGGTGGTGAAAATTATATGAATGGATCACTGAAAAACTCAGTTGATGTTAAAAACCACGAACATTACTGTTGATTATTCGCCATACTTTACTGGTGTTGACTTAGACGTGAGATTCTTCACTTGTAATTCGGTGCACGTAGCTAGCAGCCTGTTCAACATTCACGGCGAGCGGCTTGTGTTGGAAGCAGTGGACAATTCCTGTCAGATGTAGTTCCACTGGTACACGAACAGGCATGTGGATGTATTTGTTGTACACCCTCCTCAAGTGTTTGGTTATTGTGCGGTCAAACAGAAACAGTCTTACGTCTGTGTTTTTTACAATTTAGAGGACTATTTGCCCATCAGCATAATAAAAACTAAAGGGACACGGCGTATGTGGTGTATAGGGAGACTCTTTACATGCGGATGGATACGTGTCATGGCTAAAGTTTGACAGGAACGGACACGATATGTAACACATGGCCACACAGGATGAAGCTGGGTAAGGATAAAAAAAACCACACGACACTCAAAATAACGGATTACATGTTCCTCATGAAAGTTGATGAAATATGTCTTCATGTTGAAAAAAACACAAATAAATATTGAAAATACATGGTCTGCGTTAATTGCTGGATGGATGCACATTTCAAAAACAGATACAAATCTAACACAATATCCTCCAATCACAGCTTCCAGATATCGCAGTCAAGGGACTGTAGCACCAGCAATTGCGTGATGGGAAGGGGGGTAGCTTGTGTGACCGTAGTTGTAGATTGTGTGATGGGAAGGGGGGTAACTCGTGTGACTGTAGTGGTAGATTGTGTGATGGGAAGGGGGGTAACTCGTGTGACTGTAGTTGTAGATTGTGTGATGGGAAGGGGGGTAACTCGTGTGACCATAGAGGTAGATTGTGTGCAAGCTCCTTCCCAGCGCGTGACACCTTCGTTACACTCTCGGTAACATCGCTGCCACCAGTGTGGGCGCGGCCATTACAAGAATCTTGAAATTTGCCCTCTAACCCCAAATGTAGTAACGTTTATACTTTTGTTTATGTCTTTGGGAATGCCATCATATTTCAATTTGAAAAGGTTTACGACTGACCATGTTTTCCAGATGAATTTACTTTGTTGTTTTGATAATCAGATTGGTTCGAGATTGCAGACTAACGGAAAACCAACCAACTTCTCCCTTACATTCTTACTATATCAATAACACGATAGTTTTAATGAAACAGAAATTCAAATTGACAAACGAAGAAAGTAATTTAGCAGCTATAAGTGTATTCGGCGTCACGACAGTCGTCACTTGTTTGTAAACATAACGGTCATTCGGTTGCGAGTTCAACTCCAAGCATGGTTGTGGCCACCTATTCACAGTGGGGAGTTTTGACTGGTGGCAGCGATAGTATAGAGAGCTCCGGGAACGTACTATCGCTGTGAGGAGCTTGGATTGTGTGATGGGAAGGGGGGTAACTCGTGTGACTGTAGTGGTAGATTGTGTGATGGGAAGGGGGGTAACTCTTGTGACCATAGTGGTAGATTGTGTGATGGAAAGGGGGGTAACTCGTGTGACCACAGTGGTAGATTGTGTGATGGGAAGGGGGGTAACTCGTGTGACTGTAGTGGTAGAGTGTGTGATGGTAAGGGGGGTAACTCGTGTGACTGTAGTGGTAGATTGTGTGATGGGAAGGGGGGTAACTCGTGTGACTGTAGTGGTAGATTGTGTGATGGGAAGGGGGGCAACTCCAGTGACTGTAGTGGTAGAGTGTGTGATGGGAAGGGGGGTAACTCGTGTGACTGTAGTGGTAGATTGTGTGATGGGAAGGGGGGTAACTCGTGTGACTGTAGTGGTAGATTGTGTGATGGGTAGGGGGGTTAACTCGTGTGACTGTAGTGGTTGATTGTGTGATGGGTAGGGGGGTTAACTCGTTTGACTGTAGTGGTAGATTGTGTGATGGGAAGGGGGGTAACTTGTATGACTGTAGTGGTAGATTGTGTGAGGGGTAGGGGGGTTAACTCGTGTGACTGTAGTGGTAGATTGTGTGATGGGAAGGGGGGGGGGGGTTAACTCGTGTGACTGTAGTGGTTGATTGTGTGATGGTTTGGGGGGTTAACTCGTGTGACTGTAGTGGTAGATTGTGTGATGGGAAGGGGGGTAACTCGTGTGACTGTAGTAGTAGATTGAGTGATGGGTTGGGGGGTTAACTCGTTTGACTGTAGTGGTAGATTGTGTGATGGGAAGGGGGGTAACTTGTGTGACTGTAGTGGTAGATTGTGTGATGGGTAGGGGGGTTAACTCGTGTGACTGTAGTGGTTGATTGTGTGATGGGTAGGGGGGGGGGGGTAACTCGTGTGACTGTAGTGGTAGATTGTGTGATGGGTAGGGGGGTTAACTCTAGTGACTGTAGTGGTAGATTGTGTGATGGGAAGGGGGGGGTTAACTCGTGTGACTGTAGTGGTTGATTGTGTGATGGGTAGGGGGGTTAACTCGTGTGACTGTAGTGGTTGATTGTGTGATGGGTAGGGGGGTTAACTCTAGTGACTGTAGTGGTAGATTGTGTAATGGGAAGGGGGGGGGGGGGGGGTTAACTCGTGTGACTGTAGTGGTTGATTGTGTGATGGGTAGGGGGGGGGGGGGGAACTCGTGTGACTGTAGTGGTTGATTGTGTGATGGGTAGGGGGGTTAACTCGTGTGACTGTAGTGGTTGATTGTGTGATGGGTAGGGGGGTTAACTCGTGTGACTGTAGTGGTAGATTGTGTGATGGGTAGGGGGGTTAACTCTAGTGACTGTAGTGGTAGATTGTGTGATGGGTAGGGGGGTAACTCGTGTGACTGTAGTGGTTGATTGTGTGATGGGTAGGGGGGGGTAACTCGTGTGACTGTAGTGGTAGATTGTTTGATGGGTAGGGGGGGTAACTCTAGTGACTGTAGTGGTAGATTGTGTGATGGGAAGGGGGGGTGGGGTTAACTCGTGTGACTGTAGTGGTAGATTGTGTGATGGGTAGGGGGGGGTTAACTCGTGTGACTGTAGTGGTTGATTGTGTGATGGGTAGGGGGGTTAACTCGTGTGACTGTAGTGGTAGATTGTGTGATGGGTAGGGGGGTTAACTCGTGTGACTGTAGTGGTTGATTGTGTGATGGGTAGGGGGGGGGGGGGAACTCGTGTGACTGTAGTGGTAGAATGTGTGATTGGTAGGGGGGGTAACTCGTGTGACTGTAGTGGTAGATTGTGTCAGAAGGACCTGAAGGGCAGAATAGATTAGGTGAAATGGAGTTGAACGTCGGTTGAACATTATTACACAGTCATATATATATCGAGGTGTGTAGATGTGGTTGCTTGTATGTCTGTTTTTCAGTGCTAGGGGCCACTCGGCATTAAGGAGAAAAAACAGACTGGCGACTCGGAGTAAACTGGGGGGCGCTCGGCATTAAGGAGCAAAGAGGGTTTTAGAGATACTGGCACAGTCAGGCTGGTTAGGCTCATCGGCAGCTCAGGGCCCTCTAGACACAGCCCAGACAGCGAATAGGACTTCTCCCAGGAAGCGCTGCCCTGTCAAGCCCATCCAGAACCTTTCGGAGAATGTGAAGACTCCTCAACACTGCAGCCTTCTGCAATACCCAGATTGTCAGAAGGGTTGTATTCCTGGTAGCAAACCCGGGTATTCTCCCAATGTCTGTCAACAGATTGGGAGGTACCAAACCTAAGGCACCGAGAACAATGGGGAGTCGAACAACTTTGTACTTGTAATGCAAGCGTGACATTTCGAAAGCGAGGTCTGCATATTTGCCATGTTTTTCCTGAATCTTGTCAATCACATTAGTGTCAAAAGGGACAGAAAATCCAAAAATATAAATGATTTCAATGCATATATCAAAAAGGACAAAATCAGGTTTGTTGGCCTGGATACGCCTGAGGCTGCATACGGGCCTATTCCAAAGGATTTTGTATTTATCATTTTCCATGACGCCCTCTACATATTTCGGGTCGTACCATGGATGGACCTCTCCGTCAATACCACAAGCATGGCGAAGACGGTCATAAAATGATCGAACCACTCCATCATGTCGCTTAAGATACTGTGTTTGTGCCAAAGTGGGGCATCCACAGACAATGTGTTGGACAGTCTCATTAAATTCATTTCATAATCTACATTTTGATGCAAAATCACACATTGACGGTTTCGAGTGGGGAGTGACTGGTCCTGAGCAGCAAACAGAAAGCCTTCTGTTTCACTTTTGAGGCCAGCCGACCTCATCCAAGCGAAGGACTCTGCATGGTTGCTGACTTTCTCAACACTCTGCACATTAACTCGATGCAGTGGTCGTTCAGATAGCCTCTCCTTGGAAAACTTAGTCTGGGCCGATTTGATATGGCACTTCACTTCGTTGGCACTCATTTCTGTACCGTTATTATTATTATTATTATTATTATTATTATTATTGTTGGTTTTATCATCATGGTGACGTTGGGCGAGTCTAACATAATAAAAACAAGGTTCGTGTATATTTGTGCAGACTTTATTAAGTTCATATCGAGTGGTACCAAGTAACCCCATCAAAGATAAATTAAGCTTAAACACTCTGCTCTCTATACAATGCTCGTTGGCTTCAGTATGACGTAGCATGTTCCCTATGACATGTTTGTCAGCTCAATACAGAAGTTCAATGTATAAAATACCTTAACGGCTTTCAAATACAAGGACGAAGACAAGGACTCCCCAGGCCTGGTTTGAGGTGATACCTCTAGGTATTTTGAAAGAGGTCACACGAGTTCAAGCTTCAGGTGACACAATGGCGGAACAGCTGAGGTTCAAAGATTCCATATCGTGCGTAGCAGAAGCCTTCCATCCCTCGCGGGCATCTTGTCCACCTGGCAACATTGCTGAAGAATGATCCTGTCCAATATACTATAAACCGGCTCAAGAAAATAACCAGATTACAAGTCTAGATTATCTGCTGAAACAGATTTAATTTGTCGTAATGGGAAAAATAGCTTTGGAAACTATATGAATGGACAACTGATAATCAGTGATGACACCAGGTGTTCGCGAAAAGCGTAAGCCTTGTTACATTTGGTTTCACCAATGCCTTGCCGAAGAATTCGAGCTACGAAAGTTATTAGAGCCTAAATGATGATTCATGTCACGATCAACTACATCATGAGTGACGATTCTACTTCCTACTTTGTGATTAAACATAGCATGCTTATCAGTTAGAGCGACACAAGAGAACACTGTACGAGTCCGACTATACCACAAGCATGGGTATATGAGTCACTATCAAATAGTGATAGACAAAATGCTATGTCTTGATATTACTTTCAAAGTAACGAAACGCTCACACAATACAGGATGCGCTACTGTATGTGACGTCCTACCATCACAAATAAACAATTTGAAAACAACAACATTTGTGCAGGAGTATTGTTGACTTGCGAGTTTTATGAGATTTTCGTTCAGTGTATGTGGGGATCAGATTGAAAGACAATGCATCAGTTGACAGCGTAACCACTGAATGTTCCAAGGCATTCGTCACAATGGCTTTACGTGGATACACACGCGTTCTTCCCCAGTCCAACTCATATAAAAATACAAAGCCCACAACCCCCATGTTCTATACAGTCTCACGGCGCAGCACAGGGCTCCTGTTGGCACAGGCAGTTCACTCTCAGGGCCGTTTATATCCGAATCAAATATTGTTCCGAAAAACCCTACAGATGTACAAACTATTTAGAGAACAAAAGTCTTTTTCAGAGCTTGGTTTTGATGTCACTAATTCAATCACACTATGGAGTATGTCCCAATCTCCTATAAAGGTATCGTAGCGGAGTAAAAGATGGGAGTGTTTTCCGTGAAAATCGTGGAATTTAACGAATGCTCAGATGACCGGAAGTGCTTAAATAGTCACGGCGGCAGAAGTTGCATAGAAAATATCAATGGTGATAACCAGGTGAGAGAGTAACATAAAATACCAACATTAGGGTGTGTTTCTTTCTGTTATACAGAAATGTACATCCTCGATGACGCTACAAAGTGGATAGTACGAATAACACCCAGAGATCTAGGCTGACATGTAGTCCCAGATATAGACTTCTCTTGTTTACAGATACATATCTACTTAAAAAAAAATTCAAATGGAGCCCAGAACAAATCATTCTGGACTTGAGTAGGACTCCCTTATTAATGTATTCTCTAGGGTCTCGGAGACGGACAACCCGATTCCGAAGATGTCTTTGTGCCGGTTTGGCGTCAGAACTGGTAGTTCTAAAGTAGCATACAAATACTGACGAACATGTCACCCAGCCGTCTTAACAGAGGTCCTACAGGCCGGTTAGTACAAAACAGTTTCAATCTTATCTCAAATCACATAAATGTACATGTTCATGTACTTCAGTATTCGCCATCTTTGCTCGATACAATTTATAGCATCAAACTTTAACAACGTATACTTTAAATAACCACATTTTGGTTGTATGATAACGTATCTAAATATGTAAACACGCAAGTCAAATAGAAGACCAGAAAAAACGTAGGCAAATGATTTGATCTTGAGAAAAAACGTAGGCAAATGATTTGATCTTGAGAAATTGTTCGCCGACAACAGAGAGGGCATAGACTGAATCAGACGGGTTTAACGTTATACAGCAGCATCCACCGGTGTGTGATACAGGGGTGGGGGAGGTGTGTGATACAGGGGTGGGGTAGGTGTGTGATACAGGGGTGGGAGGGGGGTGTGATACAGGGCCGGGGGAGGTGTGTGATACAGGGCCGGGGGAGGTGTGTGATATAGGGGTGTGTGTGTGTGTGTGTGAGATACAGGGGGTTGGGGAGATGTGTGATACAGGGGTGGGGGAGGTGTGTGATACAGGGGTGGGGGAGGTGTGTGATACAGGGGTTGGGGAGGTGTATGATACAGGGACGGGGGAGGTGTGTGATACAGGGACGGGGGAGGTGTGTGATACAGGGGTTGGGGAGGTGTGATACAGGGGGTGTGGGGGTGGGGGGTGATACAGGGGTTGGGGAGGTGTGTGATACAGGGACGGAGGAGGTGTGTGATACAGGGGTGGGGGGGGGGGGGGGGGGTGGTGATACAGGGGGTGGGGGAGATGTGTGATACAGGGGTGGGGGAGGTGTGAGATACAGGGGTGGGGGAGGTGTGTGATACAGGGATGGGGGGTGATACAGGGGTGGGGTAGGTGTGTGATACAGGGGGTTGGGGGGGGGGGGGGGTGATACAGGGGTGGGGGAGGTGTGTGATACAGGGGGGTGGGGGAGGTGTGTGATACAGGGGTTGGGGGGGGTGATACAGGGGGTGGGGGGGTGATACAGGGGGGTTGGGGGGTGATACAGGGGTGGGGAGGTGTGTGATACAGGGGGTTGGGGGTGATACAGGGGGGTTGGGGGGTGATACAGGGGTGGGGGAGGTGTGTGATACAGGGGTGGGGGAGGTGTGTGATACAGGGATGGGGTGTGATACAGGGGTGGGGGAGGTGTGTGATACAGGGGAGTGGGGGGTGATACAGGGATGGGGGGAGGTGTGTGAGACAGGGATCGGGGAGGTGTGTGATGCAGGGTGGGAGAGGTTACATTTTGGTGCTCATCATTGTCTGGAGGACATCTTGACCGTCGCTAGCAACCTGGTCCTGACAACCCCACTTTAGGCTTGGCTTGAGAGCGTTTTGGAGTTTCTGAAAAAGGCGAACGTATGCGTCACATACACGAAATGCATTATATCTCCACGAATACACTTTTATATGTATTTTCATACATTTGATATTCTTGACGTATATGAATTAATCATCAGGGAGGGTGATAGGACTTAAACGTAAGTGTCGCATACACGTGGCAACGTGACATCATTAGCTTGACAGTATTGTGCTATCGTCAGCACCTGCTACACATCAGTCGAAGCAAGTCATCGTATCCTAATAGGGTCAATAGATGTTCATGATATCAATCACTGGATTGTCTGATCCAGACTCGATCATTTACAGGCCGACGCCATATAGCTGGAATATTGCTGAGTGCGGTTAAACTTCAAACAAACAACTAAACACATTACCTCTTTTATTGTGTCGCCATGAGTTTGATACACCGTCCATATAAACAAGATTGGGAAAGGGAGAATGGAGGCAAACGAGATGATCCAGCCAAGACCCGTCGCCCAGTCAGGGAACGTATACTCCCCGTAACGTGGAGGTCGGTAGGAGTACAGCGAGAAGCCGAACACAGCCTGCAAATAGAAATGGTCAAATTGTCAATGCAAGAGAATAACCAGCCTAGATTTTCTGCCGAAACAGATTCCTTTTGTCATAAAGGGCAAAATAGCCGAAGAAAGTATATGAATGGACCACTGAAAATCAGTGATGACACTAGGTGTTCGCGAAAAGGGTAAACATGTTCTGCCCTACCAAGTGGCATCCGCCATTGCCACGATTTGCATAAAACAATAAGTATTTATTGGCCAACGCCGCTCAGCAGTTCCCTGCCATGTGACGTCAGCATGTAGACATAACACAGCATTCCACCCACAGGTAAGTGGTAATGTTGAGATAGGTTGTGTTTGTATTATTTCACTGCAAGGTTGTAGGTGTCATATTGCGTAACAATAGTTACCAGAAGGAGCGGTGGGGAAATGTATCTCAAGCAGAAGCTGATGTGTCGAGGAATGGTGCGACCCCACATGTTGGCTATGTCATCTTCAAGTCGCTTTGTGCCTGCAATATAGTCACACCTGTATCAAATCTCAAAAAACACTTAGACAAGACACACCAATCATTCACTCAGACAACATATACCAATCAGTCCTCTACACTAAGACAAGACACACCAATCAGTCATTCAGACAACATATACCAATCAGTCCTCTACACTTAGACAAGACACACCAATCATTCACTCAGACAACATATACCAATCAGTCCTCTACACTAAGACAAGACACACCAATCAGTCACTCAGACAACATATACCAATCAGTCCTCTACACTTAGACAAGACACACCAATCATTCACTCAGACAACATATACCAACCAGTCCTCTACACTTAGACAAGACACACCAATCATTCACTCAGACAACATATACCAATCAGTCCTCTACACTTAGACAAGACCCACCAATCAGTCACTCAGACAATATATACCAATCAGTCCTCTACACTAAGAGAAGACACACCAATCGGTCACTCAAACAATACATACCAATCAGTCCTCTACGCTAAGACAATACATACCAATCAGTCCTCAACACTGAGACAAGACACACCAATCAGTCACTCAGACAATACATACCAATCAGTCCTCTACACTAAGACAAGACACACCAATCGGTCACTCAGACAATATATACCAATCAGTCCTCTACACTAAGAGAAGACACACCAATCAGTCACTCAGACAACATGTACCAATCAGTCCTCTACACTGAGACAAGACACCCCATTCAGTCCTCTACACTGAGACAAGACACACCAATCGGTCACTCAGACAATACATACCAATCAGTCCTCTACACTGAGACAAGACACCCCAATCAGTCCTCTACACTGAGACAAGACACACCAATCGGTCACTCAGACAATACATACCAATCAGTCCTCTACACTGAGACAAGACACCCCAATCAGTCCTCTACACTGAGACAAGACACACAAATCAGTCACTCAAACAATACATACCAATCAGTCCTCTACACTAAGACATGACAAACCAATTGTCACTCAGACAATACATACCAATCAGTCCTCTACACTGAGACAAGACACCCCAATCAGTCCTCTACACTGAGACAAGACACACGAATCAGTCACTCAAACAATACATACCAATCAGTCCTCTACACTAAGACATGACAAACCAATTGTCACTCAGACAATACATACCAATCAGTCCTCTACACTGAGACAAGACACCCCAATCAGTCCTCTACACTGAGACAAGACACACCAATCAGTCAACTACACTGAGATAAGACACCCCAATCAGTCCTCTACACTGAGACAAGACACCTAAATCAGTCCTCTACACTGAGACAAGACACCCCAATCAGTCCTCTACACTGAGACAAGACACACCAATCGGTCCTCTACACTGAGACAAGACACACCAATCAGTCCTCTACACTGAGACAAGACACACCAATCATCCTCTACACTGAGACAAGACACACCAGTCAGTCCTCTACACTGAGACGAGACACCCTAATCAGTCCTCTACACTGAGACAAGACACCCCAATCAGTCCTCTACAATGAGACAAGACACACCAATCATCCTCTAAACTGAGACAAGACACACCAATCAGTCCTCTACACTGAGACGAGACACCCTAATCAGTCCTCTACACTGAGAGAAGACACCCCAATCAGTCCTCTACACTGAGACGAGACACCCTAATCAGTCCTCTACACTGAGACAAGACACCCCAATCAGTCCTCTACACTGAGACAAGACACACCAATCATCCTCTAAACTGAGACAAGACACACCAATCAGTCCTCTACACTGAGACGAGACACCCTAATCAGTCCTCTACACTGAGACAAGACACCCCAATCAGTCCTCTACACTGAGACAAGACACACCAATCATCCTCTAAACTGAGACAAGACACACCAATCAGTCCTCTACACTGAGACGAGACACCCTAATCAGTCCTCTACACTGAGAGAAGACACCCCAATCAGTCCTCTACACTGAGACGAGACATCCTAATCAGTCCTCTACACTGAGACAAGACACCCCAATCAGTCCTCTACACTGAGACAAGACGTATCAATCAGTCCACTACACTGAGACAAGCCACACCAATCAGTCCTCTACACTGAGACAAGACACACCAATCAGTCCTCTACATTGAGACAAGACACATCAATCAGTCCTCTACACTGAGACAAGACACACCAATCAGTCCTCTACACTGAGACAAGACACACCAATCAGTCCTCTACACCGAGACAAGACACCCAAATCAGTCCTCTACACTGAGACAAGACACCCCAATCAGTCCTCTACACTCAGAAAAGGCACCCAAATCAGTTCTCTATACTGAGACAAGACACACCAATCAGCCCTCTACATTGAGACAAGACACTCCAATCAGTCCTCTACACTGAGACAAGACACACCAATCAGCCCTCTACACTGAGAAAAGACACACCAATCAGTCCTCTAGACTGAGACAAGACACACCAATCAGCCCTCTTAACTGAGACAAGACACCCCAATCAGTCCTCTAGACTGAGACAAGACACATCAATCAGTCCTCTTCACTGAGATAAGACATCCGAATCAGTTCTCTACACTGAGACAAGACACACCAATCAGTCCTCTAGACTGAGACAAGACACACCAATCAGTCCTCTAGACTGAGACAAGACACACCAATCAGTCCTTTGCACCCAGGCCTGACACGTCGATCTTTCCTCTTCACTCAAGACAAAACATCAATCTTTCCTCTAATTTCAAGACAAGACATCAATCTGTCCTGTACACTGAGACAAGACACCCCAATCAGTCCTCTACACTGAGACAAGACACCCTAATCAGTCCTCTACACTGAGAAAAGACACCCAAATCAGTCCTCTACACTGAGACAAGACACACCAATCAGTCCTCTACACTGAGACAAGACACACCAATCAGTTCTCTACACTGAGACAAGACACACCAATCAGTCCTCTACACTGAGACAAGACACACCAATCAGTTCTCTACACTGAGACAAGACACACCAATCAGTCCTCTACACTGAGACAAGACATCCCAATCAGTCCTCTACACTGAGACAAGACACACCAATCCTCTGCACCCAGGCCTGACACGTCGATCTTTCCTCTTCACTTAAGACAAGACATCAATCTTTCGTCTAATTTCAAGACAAGACATCAATCTGTCCTCAACTTATAGACAAAACACACCTATCTGTCCTCAACTTATAGACAAAACACACCTATCTGTCCTCAACTTATAGACAAAACACACCTATCTGTCCTCAACTTATAGACAAAACACACCTATCTGTCCTCTACACTGAGAAGAGTAACGTTGTTTCAGAACATCTTCATCTTACACAACTGGAATTCTCGACTACATATCGAGTTATCCACAATGCATGCTGAGCTCTGGGTGTCAGACTGACAGGATTTCTACATGAAATGATGACCATAAAGACGATGACTACATCAAGGGCGATACACAGCACGAGATCAAGAAAAACAACTTCACGAAATTCATGTTTGTGGTCATTAATATACACTGATCGGTGCCTTGAAGGTAGTTGGAGTGGGTTCTGGCCGAGACATACCGTAACACCAGCTAATGGCGATGCACTCCATGGTTGCGAACAGGGCCAGAGATGGGAATGTAGCGTACCAGTCCACCAGCGTGATCACATAGATTCCCCCCTGCAAGCAAAGTGAGAAAGGTGTTACGTCGCAGCCCTGCAGTTCAATGTACAGAGTTGCCTCCCTTAGGCCTGCCGGAATCCAACGATCATGGATTCCTACACCAGATTGAAATCGATTCGTGGAATGCACCGTCTTTTCCATGAGAAAACTTAAGTATATTTGAAGCTTCCTTAATGCTACAAAGTATTCATAAGACTTCACTCTGAGTATCTCTGCGAGTCTGGGATGGATGTAGCCAGTATATACGTTTTCAGGTTGGAAGATTACAGCTGGAAGCAGCACGAATAATTACAGGTCTTCCCCAAAATACTTCTCACAAGGCTCTCAACTGTCAAACAGGGCTGGAAACATAAGCAGAACTTGGACGAAAAATAATGTGTACAATGAAAGCCTCTTTATATTTAATAGAACTCGTCCCGCAATGTGAATGAAACAAAAAATCACTAACATTTAAGAAACTCTGAAAACATTTCAACTCTAATGAATCGTTTTCTCCATCAGCAAATACACTGAGGAATAATCTACCACTGAGTGTAAGCAACTGTACATCATTAAACATTTTAAATCACATATACAGATGTAGAAATCGGCCACTACGTTTTGTACTTACGAGACAAGAACATTAAATATGATTCACACACAGTACGACATTCATCTGGGGCTTCATCTAGTGGACTAAAACATGATCTGCATCTTAAAACTGACCCATCAGGAGCTTGTGGAAATTGCTGCGAACATTTGTACCACTATTAACCTGAATGTTTATGTTTTATCAATAAAGAAAAGTTCACGTCTATTCACGATGTTCTTCATCGTGGAGATTACTTTACATGTGCTCCTCTATAACGTTTCAGATTTGTGTAACCTTTGAACTTTAAGCTTGTTGTACATAGCTTCCTTTCACTATCTCTGTGCAGCCTCTGTTTCTGTGTGTGTTTCCTCATGCAATTGTACAATGTTTATATCTAAGGAGAGGGTTTGTAAGAACTTGTCCCCAACCCATTTCGCGTACGCGGAAACAATGTATTCACATTCAAATCTATTCATAGTGAATTGCGGCGTATCGGACGACTGTCCCAAATAGGTAAATACATTTTAATAGTAGAGCCACGATGTGCGAAGAACGTTACAACATATTGGAAGCAACTTTCGTACCTGTGATACATACACCAGTGACACAAGTCCAGAAGCTGCCAGAACCAGCACAGTGGCCAACCAACGTCTCCGTGCTAGGGCAGGTACTCTGTCCGTCAGGGCGGTCACTACCATCTCATATGTAGGTATCTGGGAGCAGACAATATTGTATATAACGCCCCGGCCAACCTAGGGGGATGGTATTCTCGTACCCATTGCTTCACAAAACACCGTTTCATGTGTATGGCTTTTTCACATTTCGGCGAAACATAACTGGAATTGTTTAAATGTTATTGGAAATAAAATCAAAATTCATTTTATTACCTATGGGGCAAACGTATCGGGGTTCATAAACATCACATGTGCCCTAGGATCATATACGTCAGAGACAACTGTGTATTGTTTCCGTCATCGGGGCGGCATTGTTGACGTCATTCGAATCTTATTGTGACGTAAGATCGGAATGACGTCACACTAAAAATGACGTCATAGCTGGCGACGTCATTCGACCAATTGTGGTTCCGCTACTGTTGCGACCTGCTGTCCTTATAGGTAAACACTGGAATTTGTCTTCTTCGTTGACATGTACACTCTTATAATATCCTCTATTTCTTACCAGTGTATCGATGAGCAGTAAAACCAGCATTATGAAGGTTAAGGCCGACCACAGTTGCGGAAGAGGAAGTGCAGACACTACTTCCGGGAACACAATGAAAGCGAGATTGAACCCTGAAAAGAAGAAAGCACGCTTCAGACTCATGGTTTCGCCACAATGTAAGATTAAAATGAATAAACATTCTATAATAGTTGTCACGATTTTGAAACGTTTAAAGAAGTTAGAAATAATCTAGAGAGCTTATGTGTGAGCGTGAGTCTATATATTGTGTTGTCTGTATGCGGCATTTTAGATAAATGATTTACCGATAATTGGTGAGCGCAAGTAACACGCTGATAAATCACATTTAGGCGAGTAGATTACAATCTCGCTCAACCCTACAATGAATGAACTCAGTTGACGCGTGTCTCTGTTTAGTGAAATCATGTTGAATGTCTACATGAGTATATCTATAGACAACATGAGGGACTGATTGAAAATGGTTCTACGCCGCTTTTAGCAATATTCCAGCCACAACATTACGGGAAACTACAATATCTATATATAAACCCTGGTCTTCAGTGTGACAAGCGTTAGCCCCCAATGTCGTCCCCCACTGCTGTCTTCCCCGAATGCTGTCGTCCCCCGCTGCTGTCGTCCCCCACTGATGTCGTCCCCCACTGCCACATTAACATGATGAAGGTATGGAAGAACTGGCAAGAGAGGCGGCGAGTGAATGTTCATGGTTTTACTGCTAATAACTTGCAGTATGACAGCCTAAACACCTGGCTCCTTTACATCACCGCATGACTATCGTACGAGGGGAGGCTGCAGGGTTCTGAGCCTAACTATACTGGACTATGTTGATTGAGTTAGTTGACAATTATCTTCCACACGTCTGCCAACGATGCTGGAGTGCCTGGATCCCACTGGTGTAGAAGGCTTTCTTCTGCTGAAAAGTCCTCCATGGCAGAAATGACGTCATCATATATTTAGATAACGCTTGCCAGACAGTTCTTTCTTCAATGTGGAAATCTGAGGGTGCCAAATCTGGTGAATACGGAAAACGTTCAGTGATTTCATAGCCATCGTTATGCATTGCAACCATACTGACAACAAACCTGTGCATAGGTGCATATTTTGCTGACGGAACAACACACCTTTAGTGAGTTTTTCACTACGTTTAGCCTTAATATTCTCACGTAATTGCCTGAACAGATTAGCCTTGGTATTCTCACGTAATTGCCTGAACAGATTAGCCTTGATATTCTCACGTAATTGCCTGAACAGATTAGCCTTGATATTCTCACGTAATTGCCTGAACAGATTAACCTTGATATTCTCACGTAATTGCCTGAACAGATTAGCCTTGATATTCTCACGTAATTGCCTGAACAGATTAGCCTTGATATTCTCACGTAATTGCCTGAACAGATTAGCCTTGATATTCTCACGTAATTGCCTGAACAGATTAGCCTTGATATTCTCACGTAATTGCCTGAACAGATTAGCTTTGATATTCTCACGTAATTGCCTGAACAGATTAGCCTTGATATTCTCACGTAATTGCCTGAACAGATTAGCCTTGATATTCTCACGTAATTGCCTGAACAGATTAACCTTGATATTCTCACGTAATTGCCTGAACAGATTAGCCTTGATATTCTCACGTAATTTTCTGAACAGATTAGCCTTGATATTCTCACGTAATTGCCTGAACAGATTCGCCTAATACTGGCCATCAGTGGTCTGACCTTTCAGAAAGGTAGTTCACTATATCTAGTTGGATTCCGTTCTTAGTTCACTAGTTGGATTCCGTTCTTAGTTCACTAGTTGGATTCCGTTCTTAGTTCACTAGTTGGATTCCGTTCTTAGTTCACTAGTTGGATTCCGTTCTTAGTTCACTAGTTGGATTCCGTTCTTAGTTCACTGGTTGGATTCCGTTCTTAGTTCACTATATCTAGTTGGATTCCGTTCTTAGTTCACTATATCTAGTTGGATTCCGTTCTTAGTTCACTAGTTGGATTCCGTTCTTAGTTCACTAGTTGGATTCCGTTCTTAGTTCACTAGTTGGAATCCGTTCTTAGTTCACTAGCTGGATTCCGTTCTTAGTTCACTAGCTGGATTCCGTTCTTAGTTCACTAGTTGGATTCCGTTGGAATCCCAGCAAACCGATGTCATCAACTTGATGGAACAGACTTAGCCTTCTTTGGAGGAGACGACAGATATACAGTCTGCGTTGTCTGACGGTTAGCTTCTGGTGGTGGTAAACCACATTGTTTTCCATTGTTACAAATCGCTCAACAAAACCAGACGGGTATTTTCAAAGCGTCCAAAGTTTCACGAAAGAAAACATTTAACCCTTCAGATCAGGAGTCGGAAGCCTTTGTCATGCCCAGTTCATTCCTTCGGATGTCCGCGAATCTCCCGTCAGAGATGTCTACTGTACAGGCTATGTGTTGTGTCTTCCATATCATGTATTGTATCAACAATTTCCTTTGTGGTGGCAGTTTTAGGTCTTTCTGATCTTGGATCATCTTCGAGGCTCTCTCCCTTGCCCTATGGAACTCTGCTGCCCATCGCCTAACAGTGGGAAAGGAAGGAGCGTTCCCCCCTAACGTTTACACCATGTCCGCATCATGACGGTTGGAGTCAGCCCTTTCAGTTGGATATACATGCACTTGTAAACAGCTTGGTGGCCAATTTTGTCCATTTTCATCAACAGAAATATGCTACCACGTTGTTTGTTTTAACTGCAGCCTGTGGGCATGGGAGTAGTGTACATTATACAGGCAAACTGTTAATAATGTACTGTACGTCCTTCCTAGTTAGACCCATAACGTTTTAGCCAGTCCTCGTACACTTGGTCATAGCGTGTGTTGCAGCAAGCAGATGGCACACATTCAGCGATGTCCCTGCTGTGAATAGATCTCCCTTTGATGTCGAGCATCAAAAGACTATTCATACCGGCAGCCATATTGGCCAGCGGATCCCCTTTGTGTCATCCTTTACGATAAGCAACATAAGACACCGGGGGTCTACTCTGCCCCGAACTTCCCATGGAGGACTGTCAAGAGAAACGCATGTGACATTAACAGTATTTCTACACGTGGTCATGCTTCTGGGTACACAGTGAAACCTCGTTAACCCGGACCCCGATTATCCGGACACGCACCTTCCGGTTCATTACTGTTGGCAACGCTTACATGATACATCCAGACATCATTCGTAACCCTCATTAATCTGCAAATGTCTTGGATTTCAAATGAGCAGGTGGCTGTCCGGTTGAACGGGTTTCACACTAGATATATATACATCCAAGATTTTCTCTAAACACTAGAGTGTAGGAAATGTGCATGCAATGTAACGCTTACATGAATATGACAATGGGGTTACACGACGTAATGTTACCTTTCTAAGTATACCTACCTTTTCCCGCTGTATCGAGTGGGCGTTCAGCGGCTACAGGTAGTGAGCATATTGGCCGGACCCACGGATCATCCTGCTTTCCCTTGGATGTCCTTACAACTCTTTATTCACCCTTATTCTGAAATTACTTATATAATAACCTTTTATGCTTTGAGAGCGTGTGCACAGCACATTATTTTCTTTTATTCACATCACAATAACACATTGTATAGCGTACCTGATGACTGGAAGTCCTCCACGGTCAGGCCCCGCTGGTGGGCTACGTGGCCGATAATCGCAAACACGGAGAAGCCGACGTAGATGCAGCTGACGGCGTCCACGAGACACATTACTATGGAGTCCCTAGAAACACATGGTAGACATTCTGTACAAGTTCTGTAAAGCTCTGTACAAGTTCTGTACACGTTCTGTACAAGCTTCGTACAAGTTCTGTACACGTTACGTACAAGTTCCATAAAAGGTCCGTACAGGTTCTGTACAAGTTTTGTACACGTTACGTACAAGTTCTGAAAAGCTATGTACACGTTCCGTACATGTTCTGTACAAGTTCTGTACAGGTCTTATACACGTTATGTACAGGTCTCGTACACTTTATGTACAAGCTCTGTTCAAGCTACGTACACGTTCTGTGCACGTTCCTTAAAGCTCTGTACAAGTTCTGTACACGTGCGTACACGTTCCGTACAAGCTCTGTACACGTTCTGTACACGTGCGTACACGTTCCGTACAAGCTCTGTACACGTTCTGTACACGTTCCGTACAAGTTCTGTACACGTTCCGTACAAGCTCTGTACACGTTCTGTACACGTTCCGTACAAGCTCTGTACACGTTCTGTACACGTTCCGTACAAGCTCTGTACACGTTGTGTACACGTGCGTACACGTTCCGTAAAGCTCTGTACACGTTCTGTGCAAGCTCTGTACAAGCTATATATAGGTTTTGTTGTAAGATGTGTATAAACATGAGTGAGAGTAATATTCTCAGCAATAGCCCCCCCCCCCCCCCCCCCCCCCCCCCCCTGCTCGCCATGCCCCGCCCACATAACAAGTTGTTGTCATCAAGATGAGCATAAATCCTATGCCCACCTATCAACTGACTTGTTGCCAAAGAACTATTACCGAGTGAGGTGGAATTTTTTCCCCAATATTCTAACACGGCGGGGGGTCATCATTACTGGTCTGAATACAGTGTACATACGCTGAACGCTGAAACCACCACGACCAACCCGAATTAACGAATCATAAGTAGCGTTCTGAAGGAGAAGCGTCCGGTTAAACATGTTTCAGTGTATACGAAGTGTTACCGTACCTGAGGCAGTTATTGTTAAATTTGTTGTGGCCTGACATCGTTATGATACAGCCCATGCCAATTCCCATTGAAAATAGGGAATATGCACAGGCCTCCAGCCAGACCTACAGGGGCAATAGACAACAGCGACACATTAACACAGATTACATCATCATTAATAAAAACTGAGGAGCAAACGAAACTATACCGATCACTTGATTTTATTTTCAACTGAAATATTGTAAGTTAGTTATATTGTTCCAAACACAAAACTTCTACATGGTCTTATCTTTAAAATGTAATTTGATTACCAAAAATAAATATAATAAATTCAAATAATCCACAACTGGTGATGGGCATCTCAGACATCTTGGAAAATCAATACAGTTCCACCATTCCACACATGATCCGGGTCACGTGGTTGCAAATTCATTTCTTACCTTAGGCTGCAATGAACACAGCCACAAATTACATTTCCCGAAACTGTTGCAGGAATGAGTGATGGCTGAATAGGCTTTATTCAATTTAACAACAAATTTAACGATTTTATATATTCAATAACATAAAAACCCAACTCGGTATACTTTCCTTTGCCCATCAGTGTATTTAACATCACACACACTCTGCCTCCTTGTATGTTTACATCTATGATCTGCGGATGTTTTGTTTAGTAGAGTTGTCTATTGTTTGAATCCCACACTCAGCAATATTCCAGCTGTGAGATGGCGATCTGTAAAGAATCCAGTCTGCACCAGACAGTCCAGTGATTGATATCATGAAAATCGATCCACCCATGTGGGATACGATGGAATGCATCAATCGCATCACCCAGCCTGTCTCCTTAGCAGGGATCCTTCCGGGCTACTTTGGTTGTTTGTTGTTTAACGCCGCACTCAGCAATATCCCAGCCATATGACGGCTGTCTGTAAAAAAGGGAGTCTGGACCAGAAAATCCAGTGCTTGACATCATGAGCATCGATCAACGCAATTGGGATACGATTACATGCATCAACCAAGTCAGGGAGCCTGACCACCTGATCCCGTTAGTCGTCTCTCACAACAAGCAAAGTCGCCTTTTACGACATGAATGAGTTGCTGAAGACCTATTCTACCCCGGATCTTCACGTGTCATTAATTTGGTTATAAAAATGCAGGCATGACACACATGTATACAGTTTAGGTTGTGTATATGTTCATATAAATTGATGATAAATCATTCTTGGTGTATTCTTTTCCGTCTCAAAGAGAAGACCTCTACAGCTTAAAATGAACCGCTTCAATTACTGTTACTGGTTTTAGTTAATGATAGTTGATACGAAATGTAGATTCTAGTTTTACTCTTGGGTATAATAGCTTCTCGAAGTCGGGATATATATAATAATAGATCCCCTCAGCTGATCCAGGAAGAAGGCATCCCCGGATGAGGAAAACGGTGTTGAGGATGTAGGGGACGCTGACAGTGATGTACACAATCTGCAAAGAAAAGAGATGACAGAGATATCCTACACGTAGTTAGCTTTCAAAAACAAGGCATTTTATTAAGCGAGACAAGTGAGATGGGGCTAACTATTTTGAACAGTATTTACATTGTATCAGGGCGTGTCAGCTTGATTTGGGAGAAAATCAGTAATATCACGGTGCATCAGCTTGATTTGGGAGAATATCAGTAATATCACGGTGTGTCAGCTTGTTGTGGGAGAATATCAGTAATATCACGGTGTGTCAGCCGTGATATTACTGATATTCTCCCACATCAAACTGACACACGGTGATATTACTGATATTCTCCCACATCAAGCTGACACGCCGTGATATTAATGATATTCTCCCACATCAAGCTGACACGCCGTGATATTACTGATATTCTCCCACATCAAGCTGACACGCTGTGATATTACTGATATTCTCCCACATCAAGCTGACACGCTGTGATATTACTGATATTCTCCTACATCAAGCTGACACGCGATGATATTACCGATATTCTCCCACATCGAGCTGATACACCGTGATATGACTGATATTCACCCACATCAAGCTGACACACTGTGATATTACTGATATTCTCCCACATCGAGATGACACACCATGATATTACTGATATTCTCCCACATCGAGCTGATACACCGTGATATTACTGATATTCTCCCACATCAAGTGACACGCTGTGATATTACTGATATTCTCCCACATCAAGCTGACACGCTGTGATATTACTGATATTCTCCCACATCAAACTGATACACCGTGATGTGGGAGAATATCGGTAATATCGCGGCGTGTCAGCTTGATGTGGGAGAATATCAATAATATCACGGTGTATCAGCTCGATGTGGGAGAATATCGGTAATATCACGGTGTATCAGCTTGATGTGGGAGAATATCAGTAATATCACGGTGTATCAGCTCGATGTTGGAGAATATCAGTCATATCACAGCGTGTCAGCTTGATGTTGGAGAATATCAGTCATATCACGGTGTATCAGCTTGATGTGGGAGAATATCAGTCATATCACGGTGTGTCAGCTCGATGTGGGAGAATATCGGTAATATCACGGTGTATCAGCTTGATGTGGGAGAATATCGGTAATATCACGGTGTATCAGCTTGATGTGGGAGAATATCGGTAATATCACGGTGTGTCAGTTTGATGTGGGAGAATATCGGTAATATCACGGTGTATCAGCTTGATGTGGGAGAATATCGGTAATATCACGGTGTGTCAGTTTGATGTGGGAGAATATCAGTAATATCACGGCATGTCAGCTTGATGTGGGAGAATATCGGTAATATCACGGCGTGTCAGCTTGATGTGGGAGAATATAAGTAATATCACGGTGTGTCAGTTTGATGTGGGAGAATATAAGTAATATCACGGTGTGTCAGTTTGATGTGGGAGAATATAAGTAATATCACGGTGTGTCAGTTTGATGTGGGAGAATATAAGTAATATCACGGTGTGTCAGTTTGATGTGGGGGAATATCAGTAATATCACGGCGTGTCAGCTTGATGTGGGAGAATATCAGTAATATCACAGCGTGTCAGCTTGATGTGGGAGAATATCAGTAATATCACGGTGTGTCAGTTTGATGTGGGAGAATATCAGTAATATCACAGCGTGTCAGCTTGATGTGGGAGAATATCAGTAATATCACAGCGTGTCAGCTTGATGTGGGAGAATATCAGTAATATCACGGTGTATCAGCTCGATGTGGGAGAATATCAGTAATATCACGGTGTATCAGCTCGATGTGGGAGAATATCAGTAATATCACGGTGTGTCAGTTTGATGTGGGGGAATATCAGTAATATCACGGCGTGTCAGCTTGATGTGGGAGAATATCAGTAATATCACAGCGTGTCAGCTTGATGTGGGAGAATATCAGTAATATCACGGTGTGTCAGTTTGATGTGGGAGAATATCAGTAATATCACAGCGTGTCAGCTTGATGTGGGAGAATATCAGTAATATCACAGCGTGTCAGCTTGATGTGGGAGAATATCAGTAATATCACGGTGTATCAGCTAGATGTGGGAGAATATCAGTAATATCACGGTGTATCAGCTCGATGTGGGAGAATATCAGTAATATCACGGTGTGTCAGCTCGATGTGGGAGAATATCAGTAATATCACAGTGTGTCAGCTTGTTTGGGGAATATCAGTCATATCACAGTGTATCAGCTCGATGTGGGAGAATATCGGTAATATCACGGCGTGTCAGCTTGATGTGGGAGAATATCAGTAATATCACGGTGTGTCAGCTTGATGTGGGAGAATATCAGTAATATCACGGTTTGTCAGCTTGATGTGGGAGAATATCAGTAATATCACAGCGTCTCAGCTTGATGTGGGAGAATATCATTAATATCACAGCGTGTCAGCTTGATGTGGGAGAATATCAGTAATATCACAGCGTGTCAGCTTGATGTGGGAGAATATCAGTAATATCACGGTGTGTTAGCTTGATGTGGGAGAATATCAGTTATATCACGGTGTGTCAGTTTGATGTGGGAGAATATCAGTAATATCACGGTGTGTCAGCTTGTTGTGGGGGAATATCAGTTATATGAAGGTGTGTCAGTTTGATGTGGGAGTATTTCAGTTATATCGGGGCATATCAGCTTGATGTGGGAGAATATCAGTAATATCACCGTGTGTCAGCTTGATGTGGGAGAATATCAGTAATATCACGGTGTATCAGCTTGATGTGGGAGAATATCGGTAATATCACGGTGTATCAGCTTGATGTGGGAGAATATCGGTAATATCACGGTGTATCAGCTCGATGTGGGAGAATATCAGTAATATCACGGTGTGTCAGTTTGATGTGGGAGAATATCAGTAATATCACGGTGTGGCAGCTTGTTGTGGGGGAATATCAGTTATATCAAGGTGTGTCAGTTTGATGTGGGAGTATTTCAGTTATACCGGGGCGTATCAGCTTGATGTGGGAGGAAAATGATGCAGGTCTCAGACATTTAAATTACCACTTTTGTGAAACCCACGAGCACAGGCACTGTGCTGACAACACTAGAAACATAAACAAGACGAACTCACGACCAATGGTTTCTGGCACGCCCATGAGACGCAACTCTGCGCTACGAATTGTGTCACCTGCGGCACCCCTTTTCCTTCAATCAACCGAAAGCAACATATCGGTTGATCAAATATATGCCTACATTAAACTGTAAAATCCTTCAGGTTGCGGAGATGTTGAGGAAGCCTCCATCAAGTGAATTCCTAGCATGCTCCTCACCTATGCCCTTTGTCAAGAAAAGGTCAGTGTCTGAATGACCGTATGTGCTGGTGTGAGCAGAAGGTTGCACGGGTTGGCTGATCGTTGACTTGACCCAAAATATAGGGCATGGTACTTGATGTGCATTTACTGAGACCTCATTACCACCCAGAGTATACCGTCGTCTTAATCCTCGTATCTAATTATCAAAACACAACAACATAATAACGTTTGGGTCGCCACAGTCGCAGTATACCAGCTACATCACGACCAACTGTACGTCACGGAGCCCAAGCATACGGGTGACTGAAACAATGAGCATGTCACACAGGAGTCGCCACAGTCGCAATATACCAGCTACATCACGACCAACTGTACGTCACGGAGCCCAAGCATACCGGTGACTGAAACAATGAAGCCTTCTCTAACGGCCTGCTTGGGACCTAACTCGGACACCCGACCCACTATGTCGCCTGTTACCACTACTGGTTGCTGGGGACCTAACTCGGACACCCGACCCACTATGTCGCCTGTTACTACTACTGCTTGCTGGGGACCTAACTCAGACACCCGACCCACTATGTCGCCTGTTACCACTACTGCTTCCTGGGGACCTAACTCGGACACCCGACCCACTATGTCGCCTGTTACTACTACTGCTTTCTGGGGACCTAACTCAGACACCCGACCCACCATGTCGCCTGTTACCACTACTGCTTTCTGGGGACCTAACTCAGACACCCGACCCACCATGTCGCCTGTTACCACTACTGCTTCCTGGGGACCTAACTCGGACACCCGACCCACTATGTCGCCTGTTACTACTACTGCTTTCTGGGGACCTAACTCAGACACCCGACCCACTATGTCGCCTGTTACCACTACTGCTTCCTGGGGACCTAACTCGGACACCCGACCCACTATGTCGCCTGTTACCACTACTGCTTCCTGGGGACCTAACTCGGACACCCGACCCACTATGTCGCCTGTTACTACTACTGCTTTCTGGGGACCTAACTCGGACACCCGACCCACTATGTCGCCTGTTACTACTACTGCTTTCTGGGGACCTAACTCGGACACCCGACCCACTATGTCGCCTGTTACCACTACTGCTTCCTGGGGACCTAACTCGGACACCCGACCCACTATGTCGCCTGTTACTACTACTGCTTTCTGGGGACCTAACTCGGACACCCGACCCACTATGTCGCCTGTTACTACTACTGCTTTCTGGGGACCTAACTCGGACACCCGACCCACTATGTCGCCTGTTACTACTACTGCTTTCTGGGGACCTAACTCGGACACCCGACCCACTATGTCGCCTGTTACCACTACTGCTTCCTGGGGACCTAACTCGGACACCCGACCCACTATGTCGCCTGTTACTACTACTGCTTTCTGGGGACCTAACTCGGACACCCGACCCACTATGTCGCCTGTTACGACTACTGCTTTCTGGGGACCTAACTCGGACACCCGACCCACTATGTCGCCTGTTACTACTACTGCTTTCTGGGGACCTAACTCGGACACCCGACCCACTATGTCGCCTGTTACCACTACTGCTTCCTGGGGACCTAACTCGGACACCCGACCCACTATGTCGCCTGTTACTACTACTGCTTTCTGGGGACCTAACTCGGACACCCGACCCACTATGTCGCCTGTTACCACTACTGCTTCCTGGGGACCTAACTCGGACACCCGACCCACTATGTCGCCTGTTACTACTACTGCTTGCTGGGGACCTAACTCGGACACCCGACCCACTATGTCGCCTGTTACCACTACTGCTTTCTGGGGACCTAACTCGGACACCCGACCCACTATGCCGCCTGTTACCACTACTGCTTGCTGGGGACCTAACTCGGACACCCGACCCACTATGTCGCCTGTTACCACTACTGCTTGCTGGGGACCTAACTCGGACACCCGACCCACTATGTCGCCTGTTACCACTACTGCTTCCTGGGGACCTAACTCGGACACCCGACCCACTATGTCGCCTGTTACTACTACTGCTTTCTGGGGACCTAACTCAGACACCCGACCCACTATGTCGCCTGTTACCACTACTGCTTGCTGGGGACCTAACTCGGACACCCGACCCACTATGTCGCCTGTTACTACTACTGCTTGCTGGGGACCTAACTCAGACACCCGACCCACTATGTCGCCTGTTACCACTACTGCTTCCTGGGGACCTAACTCGGACACCCGACCCACTATGTCGCCTGTTACTACTACTGCTTGCTGGGGACCTAACTCGGACACCCGACCCACTATGTCGCCTGTTACCACTACTGCTTTCTGGGGACCTAACTCAGACACCCGACCCACTATGTCGCCTGTTACCACTACTGCTTTCTGGGGACCTAACTCAGACACCCGACCCACTATGTCGCCTGTTACTTCTACTGCTTTCTGGGGACCTAACTCAGACACCCGACCCACTATGTCGCCTGTTACCACTACTGCTTCCTGGGGACCTATAGTCTAACCCGGAATCCCCACAAGTTCCCAATGTAGTCGCCTCTTACGAATGTTAGTGTTCATAGATTATACCCCAGGTCCCCGTGGTGGTGATGGGTTGGGGCCTGGGTTGGGGTGAGGGTGGGTCGGTGGGTGGGGTGTTGGTTTAGGAGTGGGAGGGGGTACATGTATGACGGACTCACCTTCCCCGACACTTTGATCCCCCACAAGACGCTGAAAAAGGCTGCAACGATGGCGACTGCGAGGAAGCCGGCTAATGGCCACCGGATACCGCCGAGGTGGTCTAGCCCGCTCGTTATCTCCAGCACCTTGTATCTGTGTAATGAATAGTGAACCAATAGTGTGGCATAGTCTAACCCGGAACCGAGTCAACATTAGATGTATCAATAACTCCTCCAGTCTTCTGTGATGAGTGAGTGAGTTTGGTTTTACTCCCCTTTAGCAATATTCTAGCAATATGACGGCGGGGGACACCTGAAATGGCCTTCACACATTGTACTCATGTGAGAAATCGAACCCGTGTATTCGGCGTGACGAGCGAACGCTTTAACCACTAGGCTACCCCACCGCCCCGTTCCTCTGTGGGGAACGTCTACACATAGACAAATAACACTACAAAGGATGTCCTCCCGCCGAGGATGGATGCTGCTGAAGCTGCAACCAACATACATGGTTCGTGCGGGATCAGAAGTACTCGTGTAAAGACTGGTAAAGTAATCAGGCTTTCAACGTCTTTGACAGAAAGGGGGTGGTTGAAGTAGAAATGCAGTGGTGGACCAGGTGGACCAGGTGGACCAGGGGGACCAGGTGGATCAGGTGGACCGGGGGGACCAGGGGGACCAGGTGGATCAGGTGGACCAGGGGGACCAGGGGGATCAGGTGGATCAGGTGGACCAGGGGGACCAGGTGGATCAGGTGGACCGGGGGGACCAGGGGGATCAGGTGGATCAGGTGGACCAGGGGGACCAGGTGGATCAGGGGGACCAGGTGGACCAGGGGGATCAGGTGGATCAGGGGGACCAGGTGGACCAGGGGGACCAGAGGGATCAGGGGACCAGGTGGATCAGGGGGATCAGGTGGACCAGGTGGACCAGGGGGATCAGGTGGATCAGACACACGAAATAAAACCCGTATGCTTGGGGCATCAAATAGGTAATGCACACGATTGAGTTTAAAGTGTGAATACCATTCTCACAAACAACACTAAAAAGCGACATATCACAACATACGTGTGTGTGTGTGTGTGTGTATGTGTGTGTGTGTGTGCGTGTGCGTGCGGTGTGTTTGCGTGTCTGTGTGTGTGCGTGAGTGTGTTTGTGTGTGCGTGTGTGTGTTTGTGTGTGTGTTTGTGGTCTGTGTGTGTCTGTGCGCGCGTGCGCGTGTGTGTTTGTGTGAGTGTGTGCGTGCGTGCGTGTGTGCGTGTGTGTGTGTGTGTTTGTGTTTGGCTGCCTGTACTAGTCCATACAGAATGAATGTGATAAATATAGGAACCAACAATGACTCGCACGCTTCACTGTTGAGTTAGGCACACATGGGCAGTTCTTCGCGAATGCAGGTCAAGGCCACGGTTATGTCAATGAGATCTTGTAGTTGAATACAGACATTAATAATTCTACCTCCAGAATTCCTCTGCAGCAGTTACTCCAACTACTGAACCATTTGTAGAATACAGAGTTGCAGCCGACGATACAGCAGTGAGGTTGTCGGAGTAGGTAGTGAGGTTGTCGGTGTAGGGAGTGAGGTTGTCGGAGTAGGTAGTGACGTTGTCGAAGTAGGTAGTGATGTTGCTTGATGATGTATTGCCGAAGCCTCTGGGTGATATACACCGGTCGGTGTTCCAGTCGTTGTTGCAGTGGGCCCAGGGGAGATTAGCGGCAAAGGAATGTACGAAGTAATACAGATACCAGGCGAAGATGGAAGCGTTGTAAGTTGCATAGGTCCAGGAAATGAACACCGTCCCCAGACCAATACCTGCAAGTTGTGGAAAACAAAATCGGTACCCACAGTAATGCATGCTTTGGGGGAGTGGGGCAAACAAACCTTTACGTACGCAATCATTAATGTAAATTGTCTTTATACTTAATGTACCCTTTGCTTCAAGATAAAGTTAAAATAAAACGTCACAATTAATAAGGTTTGAAGCGACAGTTGCATGTATAAACAAAGTCAAAAGCTGCAAGTTTGCATCAGAAATAAGTAATCATAATAAGAATAGTAATCAGATTTGAAGTTTTAAACCTTTAAACGGCGGACACACGTTCCAGACTTCAACTGGCCCACTCTGGGAGAACTGGCCGATCACCATCTCCAGGAATACACATGGAATTGCCCCGATGACGGTGAATATAAGAAATGGGATCAGGAAAGCCCCTATTTGAAAGGAAAAAATATATATTTTAGTATCTCATGCACTGTACCTTTGGGCAAATCGATATCGCAACACTGCCTACACCTCATAACATATTTCATTAAACTAAACACAAATATATATGATGTGAGAATTGGAATTTAAGAAACAATGTTGAATGATATGACAGATAAAAGTATGTATGCTAATACATTTCAATTTAATAAATTTGTTTCTCCTAAGGGACCGACCATCCAATATCCTGAGGGGTGGGGGAGGGGGTGGGGGGTTGGGGTGTAGCTGGAATATTGTTCAGTCCAGAGCTTCAAACCCTCTGAGAGTAGGAGCCTGATATATCAGAACACCCCACGTCACGTGACAGATATATCAGAACACCCCACGTCACGTGACAGATATATCGGAACATCTCATCACAGACAAATGATAGATTCGGGTATTTTTTAAAACAACGGATTATATAAAAATTAAACCAATCCCACCACCCCCCCCCCCCCCCCCCCCACCCCCCCACCCCCACCCCCACCCCCCCACCCCCAGAATATGGGCTGGTCAGCTCACGTATCACCTAGGCCCTGTCAGAGAAGCTGTCGCTACATGTACAACGTATCATACAAAGGCAAGTATTTCTTGATACGGCGACTTCAGTCTACGATCTGATACAACGATCCACAGATTTATAGAAAGAGGAATATTTTCTCATACAATGATACCTCGCACATTTAGAGTCATATGAACAACCGGGACTCTAGGTGAGCAGGAGACGTGAGCCCCAGCATGGGAGCGTCATGTCGACACGGGTAATACCGGCCATGCAGTTATACCGTGCTCATCCCTATCAGGTGGGGGATAATATCTCATAATGTCATGCTGAAATAAGCCAAGTTTACAGATGTCAGATGGAAGGAATTTAACATTTTCTGAAACCGGTGTGCCTCAAATCTAGACGACTCAACCCAGCTGAGAAGGTTAGTGTGCATTTCATTGATATAGTCGCAATTATCAACGACAATTAATTAATTTCTCACTAGGCATATAGCGGCCATCACATACTGCCTTTACAGTTTTGCATAAACATATATTTAAAAGTATTTATTTTAGATAATTGTTTAACCACCTATGGATAAACCGTTCAGCTATAAGCAATGTTGTGTGTGCATATGTTAGTGTTTCATTGAGCACATGAATGAACGACCGCAGTTACGTATTTCTATTAATTTCTAACTTGAAGCAACTATCCATTTATGGTGATGAACAGTGCGAGGTTGAAATGCAATTACGTCACAGTTTAAAGACCGCTACGACGCTCCTTTCAGACCTTTGTGCCGTGAACAATGAAGCACCTGTCGTAAAACTGGACTTAATTCACTTTTTGTGGTTGAAATATTTGACGAGTTGGCTTTTAGTCGGTGATTCTCCAGTTGGTCCTTTCTCATGGGAGATGAACACAAATAACACCAGCTTACACCCTTAAGACGTATCGTTATTCACTGAAGTAACTTCCGAAAGAATGTATTAATACAAAGCTTATCGTATTCTCCTTCTGTCAGCGACCTGGCCCATTTAGTGCACAGTGCGAACTGACGTGTAGCCATGTTTGATTACAGAACACACACCGGGGAGTGTTCAGTGTGGAAGGGGTAATCGCATCAATGGCGCCCGTTAATCAGATCATGATCCCAAGTTTACCAGACTGGTTTGCCGCATGGGTAACTCAATTATATGAAAAATAGAGTCAAAGACATCGAGTCAATGATGAATAGTACTCTCTAACAGAACTAATGGCATTGTGTATATGTGATTACAAACCTTAGCGTCCTACAGTCACACACTGAAATGAAAGCACGTGTTAGTCCAGCACATCTGGGATGCACCCGAGAGGAGACATTCCCCATGAAGCAAACATGATAACACAGCATATATGTCCATACATGTATACACAATAATACAATAGGAGCCAATGTACTGGTAAGAGTGAGTGAGTGAGTTTAACGCCGTTTTCAGGAGTATTTCAGTCATATGACGGCGTGCACGTGTCAGCTTGATGTGGGAGGAGAGCCCGACCTGAACTCGGTTACATCCGTGAGCACGGATGTGGTGTTAAGACATAATCAGGGCAATCTTGGGTTCGAACCCACGATCTGAGGTTTATTTCACGCCCAGGAGACGCAACTCAGCAAAGTGAATTGTTGCATGTTCGATGCCTTGGTCACGTGCCGGGCAGGGGAAGACACTACTACAGTCTACTGCACAGAACTTGTGTTATCTCGAATTGTCAATATGTTACAAACTCGTTGTTGTCCATCGTAAAAATATATCTATATATAAAAAACCTTTTATCTTGATTGAGTGGGTGAGTGAGTGAGTGAGTGTTATAATTTATTGCCACTTAAGCAATATTCCAGCCAGAACCGGGCACACCACTATCAACTCACCCACTCTTGCAAATATTCCTATGAATACATCACAAACATTTAACTTGTGTCAGGACATTTACCTCCGCCATTTCGCATTGACAGGTAGGGGAACTTGAGGAAGGTGCCGGCGCCGATGCTGTAGCCCAGCAGTGTGGTGAGGTAGTCGAAGTGGTGAGTCCAGCGTTCGTGCACCATGGCTGAAAATACAGAACACACTCACACGTGTAGATGGCGTGTGCAGGTGCGGGAACACATGCATGCTCTGGTATTTGGAGTAGAGCAAGGTTTCGGGGGCCGATGCCGATAATGTCAGTTTCCAACATGACTGACCTGCAGCCCAGAAGGGATTGTGTTCGACAGCTGCCACAACACACGAGCCACAACACATTGCGACCCTACATAACTAGACTTACATTAAAAGTCTAGGAAATCTTATATCACACAATACTCTTCTTGCCTCTAAAACTAAACAAATAATTTTCCTGATGCTGATTTGGAATAGAGCTATCTGGAACTGGATAGACCTGCTTTTATATATATATATATATACATAGATTGCTTTGTTTTCATAAAATAAATATATTCCAGTCATGGTGCAGGGCTACTACATCACTACATCAACGTGCTTCAAGTTGCATCACGTGCAGCAGTCTCAGACCTGGTTGTAACAACTCGTTCATTCTGCACACGTTATTAAACAATTAGAAGCTTAATTAGTTCATGTTATTATTTTATATTCCCAAATTAGCTATTTTCAAATTTAAAAATAAATACATTTTTTTCAAAATATGAAAAATAATTACTTCCACACTCGTTGACCCTATTCACTCATACGCTGTAAAAAACAAGATTAATAAATGGGATGGGTGGGATAAATAGTGTTTGGGTATTTCTATTGTTCAGGTTTCATATACACTAAAACCCTGCTAGACCGGACATCAGTCTGCCAGACTGGTTTTATGTCTACAGGACGCAGCCGGACGACCGGAGTTCACTGGAAACTGATTCGGGTTAGAATACGTCTTCAGCAACCCATGTTTGTCTTAAGTGGCGAATATGCTTGTGGTAAGGGGCGACTAACGGGATCGGGTGGTCAGGCTCGCTGACTTGGTTGATGCATGTCATTGTATCCCAGTTGCGTACATCGGTGCTCATGATGTCAATCACTTGATTGTCTGGTCCAGACTCAATTATTTACAGATCACCGTCAAATAGCTGGAATAGAGCTGAGTACGATGTTAAACAACAAACAAACAAACAAACATTGGACACGAGGTCTCGGTGTAACCCGGATGAAGTGGTAGACTCTTAAACTGCAAACAATCTTCTGATGGGTCGTGTTTGTTTCTGATGCATATGATCTGATCAGAGAAAGATGAACTAAATATAATCGCTACAAGTGAATAATTCCTTAGAAGAAAAAAATCATACTCGTAGTCTTATGGATGACAAAATAATACTGTGACTTCTGGTCGGTGAACAACAAAAAGTGCTTCTGAGGGACAGAAGGGGCTGTGCGCCTGGGTGAACACCAGACGTCTGCTCCTGACGAGAACTCGGCCAGGCCTCTCTTTGATCTTCTGTGTGGATGTGACGGCCCCATTAGCCCCGATTTAGAATCACGGTGGTACAAGAGCACATGTTGTACATATTACATACCGATCAGACCTGGTACATGAAGGTAATTCTTATGGGTGAAATGTATACTGGCAGTAGATTGGGCCAAATTGCTGAGAACAGAAACCATATACCGATCTGCTGAGAACGAACATGTTCTTTAAACGGAAACAGAAATGTGACGGTAATAGTGCGCGTTGGTCGACAGTCTATCATCGTATTAATGTCGATAATACCATTGTGTACAAAACAGTTTCGTGTCTCCTCAGGCCGGACTTTGACCTATATCATCCGCATTGGTGTGAAACACGTAAACAAAGTAGTTTCTTATCTCTTCTTCTTCATCACGGTGACCGATACCGACCGGTATCAAATTTAACATTTATCTAAAACATTCTAGAAAAGCGGTCAAGCAGAGAGCATTTGGTTGCCAACTACCTCGTGTATAAATATCAGCTTACAGAGTTATCTGCCCGTGAAACAGAGACAGCCTTGAGTCAATGGCGATGCTTCTCTGTTACGAGACCTTTCGACGTGCAATCATAGGGTACACCCAGTCCGACCCTGTCCAGCTAACATGTAGAGTTCCTCCGAAATCCGTTTTAGGGCCGGTCCTTCATTTTTACTTTGCATATATGCCAACATGGAGACGTGATCAATCTGGGTGCCGTTGTACAAAACAACCTCAGCGCTACGACTTGTCGTAAGTCTATGTTATGGCATCGGAGTTACGATCACCTTAGCGCTAAGATCGCCTTGTACAACGGCACCTAGCACAGTATCTCCAATTACTTTTATGCTGATGACTCCCAGCTAATGAACAAACAGTCTTTCAAATCAGACATTCCATTCAGCTTCAGACAGAAACTTGGGGGTTAAACTTCGTTGATTTCAGCCTCTCTAGAACCGACCATATTAACTACTTACATGTATGTCGTAGTTACCAGTTGAGGATCATCGGAGCCATGCATCATCATCATTGTCTTATGTCGGTTTCAGACATTTACTTATGGCGGCCCCATATATTTACTTATGGCGGCCCCAGACATTTACTTATGGCGGCCTCAGACATTTACTTATGACGGCCTCAAATATTTACTTATGGCGGCTTCAGATATTTACTTATGGCGGCCTGAGATATTTACTTATGGCGGCCTCAGATATTTACTTATGGCGGCTTCAGATATTTACTTATGGAGGCTTCAGATATTTACTTATGGCGGCCTCAGATATTTACTTATGGCGGCCTGAGACATCTACTGATGTCGGCCCCAGACATTTACTTATGGCGGCCTCAGATATTTACTAATGGCGGCCTCAGACATTTACTTATGGCGGCCTCAGACATTTACTTATGACGGCCTTAGATATTTACGTATGGCGGCTTCAGATATTTACTTATGGCGGCTTCAGATATTTACTTATGGCGGCCTCAGACATTTACTTATGGCAGCCTCAGACATGTACTTATGGCGACCTCAGATATTAACTTATGGCGGCCTCAGATATTTACTTATGGCGGCCTCAGATATTTACTCATGTCAACCCCAGACATTTACTTATATCAGCCCCAGATATTTACTTATGTCGGCCCCAGACATTTACGTATGTCGGCTTCAGGCATTTACGTATGACAGCACCAGACATTTCTGAAATTAAGAAGCCGGAAATAATAACAATCTACTTCAATATGGCATCGTCGTCCGATCAAATCGTTTTCGGGGTAAACCTTTGATCACATTGTGTTCACCGTACAGTCTAAATATTTGGTGATCATGTTCTGTTGATATACAGTTCAACCAGTCTTTAATGTATAGTGCATGTTTCGTTGAATGGACAACCTGTATTCCTTGATCAAACAGCTTTTGAGCAAGAGTTGTTAGACGCACTTTGAAATGTTCCGAGAAGGAGCATACTCCTTTGTACCTCAAATGTGGTGAGATGTAGACACCAAAGGCTGGAGCTGCTGGAATATTGCTGGAGGAAGTTGACGTTTGGAACGATGAAGTCATCCCTCTTGGTATACAGTCTTGTCATACACTCGTATGGAGAGTTGTTTGTCACTCTGAATCAACAGTTTATGTTTTATGTCGAAAGTACCGTACTGACACGTGGGAAGTGTTAAACTCTCACCGTACTGACACGTGGGAAGTGTTAAACTCTCACCGTACTGACACGTGGGAAGTGTTCAACTCTCACCGTACTGACGCGTGGGAAGTGTTCAACTCTCACCGTACTGACACGTGGGAAGTGTTACACTCACCGTACTGACACGTGGGAAGTGTTCAACTCTCACCGTACTGACACGTGGGAAGTGTTCAACTCTCACCGTACTGACGCGTGGGAAGTGTTCAACTCTCACCGTACTGACACGTGGGAAGTGTTACACTCACCGTACTGACACGTGGGAAGTGTTCAACTCTCACCGTACTGACACGTGGGAAGTGTTCAACTCACCGTACTGATACGTGGGAAGCGTTCAACTCTCACCGTACTGACAGGTCGAGAAGGTTAAACTCTCACTGTACTGACACGTGGGAAGTGTTAAACTCACCGTACTGACACGTGGGAAGTGTTCAACTCTCACCGTACTGACACGTGGGAAGTGTTCAACTCTCACTGTACTGACACGTGGGAAGTGTTAAACTCTCACCGTACTGACACGTGGGAAGTGTTCAACTCTCACCGTACTGACACGTGGGAAGTGTTAAACTCACTGTACTGACACGTGGGAAGTGTTAAACTCTCGCCGTACTGACACGTGGGAAGTGCTCAACTCTCACAGTACTGACACGTGGGAAGTGTTCAACTCACCGTACTGATACGTGGGAAGTGTTCAGCTCTCACCGTACTGACAGGTCGAGAAGGTTAAACTCTCACTGTACTGACACGTGGGAAGTGTTACACTCACCGTACTGACACGTGGGAAGTGCTCAACTCTCACAGTACTGACACGTGGGATGTGTTCAACTCTCACTGTACTGACACGTGGGAAGTGTTCAACTCTCACTGTACTGACACGTGGGAAGTGTTAAACTCACCGTACTGACACGTGGGAAGTGTTCAACTCTCACCGTACTGACACGTGGGAAGTGTTCAACTCTCACCGTACAGACACGTTGGGAGTGTTAAACTCTCACCGTACTGATACGTGGGAAGTGTTCAACTCTCACCGTACTGACACGTGGGAAGTGTTCAACTCTCACTGTACTGACACGTGGGAAGTGTTAAACTCACCGTACTGACACGTGGGAAGTGTTCAACTCTCACCGTACTGACGCGTGGGAAGTGTTAAACTCACTGTACTGACACGTGGGAAGTGTTCAACTCTCACTGTACTGACACGTGGGAAGTGTTAAACTCTCACTGTACTGACACGTGGGAAGTGTTAAACTCACCGTACTGACACGTGGGAAGTGTTCAACTCTCACCGTACTGACGCGTGGGAAGTGTTAAACTCTCACCGTACTGACACGTGGGAAGTGTTAAACTCACCGTACTGACACGTGGGAAGTGTTCAACTCTCACCGTACTGACGCGTGGGAAGTGTTCAACTCTTACTGTACTGACGCGTGGGAAG